TTGCTTAATTTCCACGATCGCAGATCGAATGCGCTAACCACCTGCGCCATCGACCTCAATCCCCTTATTAATAAACAAGGAATAAGCTTAGACTAGTTGCGCCGTCTTTCGTTCATGTCACTCAAATGCCGTTTGTCATTCAATAGACAGAGACAAAACATGGAGTAACCGACCGAGCGTAGTCTTCGTTTATTAATAAGGGGGTTTATGTTTAATATAAATTGTTTAATTTGGCTTAATTTTGTTTTGGTATACAAAAACAGATAGTGTTACTAGCGGCACTGGCCGCGGTGTCGTCGCAGCGGCTCACCGAGACCAGTACGGAAATCAACGACGGGCAGCGACGCAGCGCGGGCGGCGCTGGTAGTTACGGCCTGTTACGGCCGGGCTACGGCGGCAGTTACGGCTCGCCCGGTTACGGAGGCTACGGCGGTTACGGCGGCGGTGTCGGTTCGCCCGGGTACGGCGGCGTCGGTTCGCCCGGGTACGGCGGCAGTTTCGGTTCGCCCGGGTACGGCGGCGGTTTCGGCTCGCCTGGTTACGGCGGATACGGCGGTTACGGAGGAAATCACGGCGGGTACCAAGGAGGATACCCGGGTTACGGCGGAGGTACATTTCTGCATGTCATTAGATTTTTCAGTTTTTCGTGTGGGTATTCTTTAAGGCGTTTAGCGAACCTAGTAAGGATATAATAAGTCTAAGCCTATAGCGGCTACAGTATAGCCTTTGATAACTTTTTGTCAGAAGAGGGGACAGAAATAACAGATCCTTTATATCACATCACACTAATATTATAAAGGCGAAAGTTTGTTAGTATGTATGTATGTTTGTTACTTCTTCACCTCTAAACGGCTGGAGCGATTTTCATAAAATTTGGTATGGAGTTAGCTGAAGCCCCTAATAAACCGCGGGTAACACCGCGGGGCATAGCTAGTAAACATATATTTCGGCAATACTGACTATGAAACTTCACGAAGTAACACTTATTTAGCGTATCAAAGAGACGTAGTTCAATGTTATAAATTATGTATGTTTTCTTGTCGGCTCATCTTTCCATCGAGTCGTCATGTCTAGTTTCAGATGGAAAACACCCTATAAAAATACTTACCAACTTCCTTTCACAGCAGGATATGGTGGTTACCCAGGCGGCTACCAGGGAGGATACCCAGGTTACTCGCCCATAGGCGGTGGATACCCAGGTTTTGGAGGAGGTATACTTCAATCTTATGCCGGCACTTCACTTGGCTATTCGTGCTTGCTATTTGTAAACATGATGTCAGTGTATCCTTTTAAATCCTTATAAAGCATGATAAGGATAGACTGTCAAGTTTACCAATAGCAAATACGAATAGCCAAGTGAAGTGCCGGCATAATACATTATGATTTGCCGATATATGAGCAGCTATGGCCCAGTCACAATTTATAGACTAACCAATAAAACATACTAGGTATTACAACTTCTACAGTTTTTTATAACAATAATGCTTGATTGTGAATTTTACTGCTTTTTCTGCCACGAAATAAGTAGGCATTAAGTAGCTTAAGCAGTTTTGTTAGCAAATTCCAGGAAATGTCACTGGACTTGGCATTCTGGAGGTAAATATCCATCAAGCTAAGTCATTTTAATGGCAACAAAACAAATCATCTATTATTTTGCAATATGAGCAATCATATTGTACTGAATATTGTCAATCACATTCATAATGTTGTTGATACTTTTAAATGTTTTTGATTTCTTAAAGAAAAGCTGTGTTGAAGCTAACCAAAAAGGTAATTTTTAAAGCTGCCAAGAACATTGCCCTGAAAAAAAAAATCTAAAAATGGAGAAGTAACTTAAAATAAAAAGAACGAATCATTCTGTTATTGCCGGTTTGGTACTATGATATACATACTTTTGAAATCAATTAAACTATCCAGAAAAACCTTTTCAATCTCAAAACATGCCCTTGCAAGTCAGTGACCATACTTCCCACCTAGGCATATCCTACCCGGGTGCCAGGTAACCAGTAAGACTCATTCAAAGTTGGTAAATCCAACTTATTCAATAGTCATCATCATCACCAGCCTATTAATGTCCCCACTGCTGGGCACATCCTTTTGGATGGAATAGGGATATTAGGCCATGACCCACCACGCGGGCGCAGTGCGGATTGGTAGGTGCTAACGACTGTTGAGGCAGCCTTTCGAAGCACAGAGAAGCTCGAGATAGTAAATTTTTGGTCACCCTTCCAATGACCGACCACTGCGAAAGTTGCTTAACTTCAACGATCGCAGCCCAACGCGCGAACCACTTGCGCCATCGAGCTCCTCCTATTCAATAGTATTTTTGTATAATTCTTGTTTTGCAACCTTTATTTATAGCAATGTTACAACATATAACATTATTACGGTAGTATTTACTATTTATTTTTACTAATGTAGCATTACGTCACAAAGTTAAATGTTTCAAAAACCGACACACCGTACACAAAATCCACAACACCACAGTAACTTACCGACCTTACAGGTTATCGACCCAACTACCGGCCAGGGTACGACTACAAACCCGGGTATAACTACCCCGGAGCCGGATATCCGGGTTACAACAGGCCCAGTTTCACTCCATACCGGCCCGGTTACGAACGGCAATACCCGAATAGCCCGGGCAATTACTTCGGTAGCTACAGCGATGGCTACAGCGACAACATCAGACTACTCGGCAGGAAAGTAGGAGAAACCAAAAAAGAAGAGGACGCCTAGTTATAAGTAATTCTATTTGAGTATTGTTATTTGCACTGTTTTTATGAGTATTAAATTAATTTTTAATGTAATCGCTTTTTTATTAAATCCCATAATAAATGAGGAGCTGGCGAACAAAACGGTATACTATTTGAAGTATAATACTAGCAAACCAGTGAACCAAATGTTCACCAAAACCTGATTTAAAAAAAATGTATTTAATTAATTGAGAACTTCGGAGATTTTGTGTGGTTTCGTTTGAAATTCGTGATTTCTCGAAAACCGGAAGTGCTACGTTATTCAAATCCGGTTTGTAGTCTTATCAGACTATCCTTAACTTATAACTTAAATATTCTCTTTGTCTATCTCTTACGGTTTGGCCGCTGAAACAGCACCACAGACAGACGGACGGACGGAATTGTCTAATAGATAAGAGAATAGCACTGGGATTGCAACGCCAGTGAGCCAGTTAGCAACTTTTCTCTCAGCTAGTCAATCCAAGCATGAATAAGACGGGTAGGAATGTCGTTCTACTGATAGAAAATAACTATCTCAAGAGATATCAGATTATTTGTTGCTCGTTTACGATGACATGTAAACAAGCTATAAATAATCTAATCATCGTTGTCATAGCAATCAATAGATAAATACAGTAGACCCGCGGTAATCCGGGCCCCGTCTAATCCGACGCTCCCTGTAATCCGACACGCTTATCACTGTTGATTAGCACATAAAATAAATAGAAAAATATTTTTTAGATTTATAATTTGTCATAATACAAGGTACTCTTATACAAAAAATTCTGGACTATAGAGGGAGGTCTTAGACAGTACCCTGTAATCCGACAAATTCGATATCGCCCTGCAAAACGTTTGTCGGATTACCGCAGGTCTATTGTATTATGTACTGATAAAGCAATAATGAAACAAAAAAGCAATTCTCCCTATATAACAAACGTCGTGTATTCAAAATAATTTAATTATAATAATCCTTTATACAATAACATTTATTTATTCTTTAAAGAATAATGAAATTTTCAGGAATTACTTCACAAATAAAATATTTTCATGTAGAACTGACCTATACATTGCCATTTAACTGAGTTGAAACCACTGTTATTTTTTTTTCTAACATTGACATGTCGTTATTTTATTAATAAATTAGAGCTATTCTTTACATAGTACCTAAATTATTTATAAAAAAAACATTCAACTTACATCTTTTTAATGTGAAATTAAAATAAACCTAATTTTCAAGCTCTACGCCCTTGAATGACGGCTATCGCGTATGAATCTGCTGCAAGTGGCGCTTGTGTATCGTGAGGTTTCCGAAATGTCAAATATTATTGCTGGTGGGTTGACTACGCGGGTTTATTTCTAACTAGCGGGCGCCCGCGACTTCCTCCACGTTCACTATTAGTTTTTTTATTCTAAAATAAAAGTAGCTTAAGTTACTCCTTATTACATCAGCTACCTGCCAATAAAAGTCCCGTCAAAATCGGTCCTGCCATTTCAGAGATTAGCCGGAACAAACAGACAGACAGACAGACAAAAATTGTAAAAAACAATTGGTGTATGTACCGTATATATATTCATATGTATGTAGTAAAAAGCGGTTATTTCAATATTACAAACGGACACTACAATTTTATTTATATAGATTACAATAATGTTGTGAATATTTGGTAATAACGCAGATTAATTGTGTGCAAATATGAGTAACGTGTCAATGAATGTCGGTTATTTCAAAGCGGAGCTAAGAAAAAATATTATGTCCTCCTTTTTTCCGAAAAGAACGGAACCGCGCAACACTGTGGCATGGCCGATTATGTTTAAGATACACGGTTCTTTTGTATTAAAATATTTTTTTTACGTGCGTATTAACAATCTTTAAAAGTTACACTTCAGGACCTCATTCAACAGTGGCGCCATCTGGTGAGACAAAGAACGGTAGCCCTCATTAAGGCATAGAGGTATAAGAATAGAGTGGGGTAGGCGGCTCTAAAAGTGTCCGTCTAGTAGAAAGAGACAGAAGATGAGAGGCCAGTAGCTATCTCTCTCTTGTGACGCAAACGTAGTCGTCTGTCCAATAGTTGGTCCATGCATCACATCGAAATAGTAAGATACTTACGGTTGCCAATTGCGCATGCACGATTAGAGAGAGAAAGCTAGCGGTCTCTCATCTTCTTTCTCTTTCTAATAGAGGGACATTTCCATTTGTAGTAGAGTCTATATCTCCCCTACTCTATTATTATACCTCTATGCATCTTGATGCCCGCCCTTGGGCGTTTTTATTAATACTCCGTTACGAACCACTGAACCACTCTGACGTCATCGAATTAAAGAAGGACGCGGCCCCAGAGCGGGCGTTTGCAAAGTTAATGGGCAACGAACTGGTCATCAGTTCCGATATCTCCGACCTCGACTTGTTTGGACTTGCTGCGACCACTTTCTTCTTCGTCTGGAAGCAAAGAAGACAATAGAGTACTCAAATCTTACGTACATTTCTTGGTTTGCTCACGGGCTGCATATATTTCTGAAACTTTAGAACCTCGTTTACTATGTTCAAACAGCACAAGTTACTCAAAGCCCTCTTTCTCCATCCTATTTTGAGCTTTATGCCACCTGATATAAGAATCAAAATCTGTTGTGAAAAGAGATAGAAAGATTGAAATGGGTTCATATAAACTTATGCTCACATAATAAAAAGATGAAAATGGTTTCATTTAAAAGATTTATAAATATTATAGATTATTATTTTATATTATATTATAGATTATTTTTATGAGACCTTAATATTTTACAAAACTGACTAATTCTGCAATAGATTTTCAACCTACGTGATTTATATTTTTAAGCATTTAACTACTGGTTATTTAAATCCAAAGAATTATTTTTCTAGAAATGATTCCACGGGGTGCAGATACTACTATATTTGCTATTTCTTCTTTTAAATGTTGAATACTTAACCGTTTTTATATTTAACCCACACATGACGACATAGAGACTACATATTCAGATGGCGGAGGCTTAAACCGTGAAGTACCCGTAACTTGTAAAGGTATTCGTTTGATTTCATTATATCATATCATCATTCATTGTTGGTTGCTTACAATGCGAAGAAATGGCGCTGCCTTGCAGCCTAAGCAATACTAGAAAGAATTCGACACGACCAATAAGGCCGCGGTAGCATAATGGTCAGTGCATCCGCCCGAATAGCGGAGGGTGCGGGTTTGAGTTCCATCTGCTGCCTGGTCCACGTGGATCTTTTCTACGTGATGTAATTAAAGGTTCAAAATGTAATGCAGTATTTTATACACTTAGTAGGGACCTAAAGAAATACAATAATAACAACGAATGATTTAAAATTAATTATCAAAAATAAATAAACACTCATGCATCTTAAGTTTATTGACTACGGTAGTTATTTGATTATACTTGTTAAAGAGTAAGTTCTTCAACAGAAGTTAACACACTCAAATGATAACCGGCGTCAGTGATAGTAATGATAACACCTATGGCTCGGATCCTTTACATTTGAAGGCTCCATAGTTGCAAGACTGAAAAGAATCTGATATGTCAAGAAAAAAAAATATACATTGCGTTTTAAACCCGTTCCAAAAATGTTTTGCTAGAGTAGCTAACAGAAATTACATCTATTAATTTGTTAAAACCATGCTTTGAACGAAAGATCTGTGAAAAAGCGAGCATTCTTTATCTTTCAAATCCGTAATATCATAGATATTTGTATGAGTAATAGGCTATTTGATAGTATGAAAAATAAAGAACCAATTGTTGGCATCTGTTTTGAATATGATTATTATTAGCATTGATTTTACTCTACTACTACTACTTACACATTCAGTGAGAACAAAATATTAATAACCTTTAAAAAATATTAAATAGGGACAATTTTTTTTATCTATGGTCACGTGACCGAAAACGCCTCGTATTGGCGAAGATTAAATGACGTCACACGCTAGCAAACTTCCGGTCAAAATGACATTAAATTTTATCGTTTGACGTTTTAATGACAATCGTGTGATGCCACATACTATTGAGACGCCATGTTATCCAGAGAAACGTTTCCGCGGCAACTTTAAAATTGCATTTTAGATTTGGATTTTTTTACTGATATACACAACAGAATGATGAATATCCACTCCTTATGGACTCCATAAACATCTGTAAATAACGTGAGATTGTTTTCTTTGACAAGTTTTTGTCAAATATCCTATTGAAAGAGTTTAACTTGCAAGTGTTTTTCATCACGGTATTAGTTGAATTCAGACAACTTAGAATTAATTACAGAGGTATGTGATATGATAGGTAAACGGTACTTTTTATAGACTAGTGAACTAACCAGCTAACTTTACACTGAGACTTTGATCACATATCAAATGAGATAGTCACATAAAATATAAACACACAAGTCGATTAGCTTAAAAAGAAAAACCGCCTTATCATTGTGACAATAAAAGCAATTATCGTACAGTCAAAATCATATGGGTAAACCAGTTAGTAGTTTTTTTTTGTAATTTGTTAGTGCAAACATGTTATATTCTGTTCATCCGTCACACAACGCATACCGTTATTGTCAGAGCTCGAAGGGCAGTGAATTCTATGCAAACAAAAAACATTACTATAAAAACTGTTTGTGCCTAAAATACTAAATAAATTTAAAAAACAATAATCTGAACATAAATATTATACTTCATCCATGAATAATCCGATAATATTGTCACTTTATACGTACTTCATTTACATATGTGATAATTTATTAAGTCTTCAAAACAAAAATAAAGTACTTAGTGCTGTTTCTGAGTATGACAGGGTTTTTACAGACATGTGTCTAGATATTTCATATATAATTTAATTCCCCTTTATACTATGTTCAATCATTAAATATTTTTCCCCCAAACAAAATTAGATACAATTTCAAAGCATGTTTAAGCAATTTTCTCCTTAAACTCGTGTTTAAAGCCTAATCTTTATAAATCGCTTTATCGTATCGCGTTTTGACAATCACGCTAAAGGGGTCCGTCAGTAACACTAATATTCTCATCTCTCATTTAAACTGCTTACCGGCTTATCGTGCTTCTTGAGTAAACTGGGTTGCGTCGCCACGGGTAATAGAGAGAACCAGTGCGAGTCCCCTGAAGCTAGCAACGAGGCAGCCTTGTCGCCAGTACCGCCAGATAAAACGGGTTTGTTACCGATAATGCCGGTCAATTGACCGTGGTGGAGTATCAAACTGCCTAGCAATGTCTGAAAACAAGTAAAAACATTGTAACAAACCCTGTCGAAAAAACCGAGAACATACTGCCGCGAATCGAAGCCGTATGATGCGGTTTATACGAATATGAGCCTTATGTAGTGCGACGTAAGGGTGAAAATGCAACGACATCTGCACTTGTTTACGTGCACTAGTTAACTCCCAATTGAACTGGACTGTTCTGGAATGCGTCGATTGACCTACGTATGAGCAGGTACGTGTGCTAGTTAACTCCCAAATGAACTGGACCGTTCTGGAATGCGTCGATTGACCTACGTATGAGTGCCTACTCAGTCAAAATCAAATAAGTGCGTGCAAATCAAAAGTGCCGACGTCTGCTAGTTAAATCCCAATTGAACTGGACTGTTCTGGAATGCGTCGATTAACATACACCTACATATGAGTAGGTACGTGTGCTAGTTAACTCCCAATTGAATTGAATCGTTCTGGAATGGGTCGATTGACATACACCTACATATGAGTAGGTACGTGTGCTAATTAACTCCCAATTGAACTGGACTGTTCTGGAATGCATCGATTGACATACACCTACATATGAGTAGGTACGTGTGCTAGTTAACTCCCAATTGAACTGGACTGTTCTGGAATGGGTCGATTGACCTACGTATGAGTAGGTATGTGTGCTAGTTAACTCCCAATTGAACTAGACCGTTCTGGAATGCATCGATTGACCTACGTATGAGTAGGTATGTGTGCTAGTTAACTCCCAATTGAACTGGACGGTCTGAAATGCGTCGATTGACCTACGTATGAGTAGGTACGTGTGCTAGTTAAATCCCAATTGAACTGGACTGTTCTGGAATGCGTGGATTGGTGAAGTAAATAGTTTGTGGGATACTGGCTATGACGATTATAATAATACGAAATTAGTAATCTATAAGAAAATGTATAAGTTATGTTTGAGGTGCCTTCTAATGATCTACGTGATCAACATTTAAGTAATTTTAGCGGAAAATTTTAGAAGATTTTTATTTATTTATTTATTTATTAATTAAGGACAGCCAACAAAACAAACACCAAATAAAAATACAAACTGAGAAAGCAATAAAGATCTCTGTATACTCCAATCTCGAGTAATTGAAACGGAACTGTCAATATATCTACATTTAAAGCTTACCTGAACTCTCTGCACGGATCTCTTCAGATTAGTCTGTATGTACGGATAAAACACGTCATAGTCGAATGGATCTATCCTTTGCCTTAAGAATTCGCACATTTCATGCGACAGCTCCATAGAACTCTTGTTCTCTCTAGGCACTAAAAGTAAAGTCGTATGCCTGACGTCCATCAAAAGCTGAAGCGCACACCTCTGATTTATATCTGTCTCTTTCTCTCTGATAACTCGGTTGTAATGTGCGAAGACGACGTTTGTAACTTTGTCAATGAACATTGCGTGAATTTCCGAAGGCAAAGTGTGCGGAACTACTTCGTCAAGTATACGGCTTATTGAATAAAGATACTCTTGTAGTTTTAACGAAGGACCCGCCGGTACTTTTATTGTGGACTCTATAGCGTTGCCTTCCTCGTCTTTTTCTTCGATTTTTATTACATCCCATTGCTGTGAATAAAAAATAAATACCTATGTATGTATAATCAAAATTTTTGCTATCAACAAAAACAGTTATGGCAATGGAAAATGTACTTTATATTTCTTTTTGTTAAACTCTTAAAAGGCAAACCACGATATCGAAGGCTTGTTCATAAAAGTGGCTAGACCTTCCAAATAAAAAATAAACATTTAACTACGTATTTCAAGTCATCAAGCACATATTACTTATTATATTGATGTTTTGAATATTTGTAGCTGTTTTTATAGCTTTACAACGAATTTACAACACAAAAATATGTGTTTAAATTGTCTTTTGCGAATAATGTAAACAATAAGGACTTTATAAAAGAAACACGAAATACAAAGTACAATATTAAAGAGAAAAATTTTTACCATCATCAGATAATCAATGTTAGCTTCCAAAGTGAACTCCTGAGGAAATATCTGTGTCAACTCCTCAATTTTTACCATCACTATATCCACCCATTTACTCCAACAAAATAGACAATTCTCCTTCAATATACCGCAAACTTTGTTCCATCTCTTTACAGCGTTATCATCGATAGTTATGACGCCCAAGTTATTCCGCTCTTCGGGAATATAGCACTTGCGTAAACTAGGAATAAGGGTGGACATCGCTTGCGAACACCTAGCCGTGTATATGGAGGTGGTTTTACGCTGCAATTCAGTTGATTGTAATGTGGATTCGTCGAAACAGGCCCTCATGTATTGGGTCATACTGAAAAGTTGGAATTGCTATAACATCATCATCATCAGCCTTTTAATGTCCCCACTGCTGGGGCACACCCCTTCCCTATAGATGGAATAGGGAGATTCGGTCATGACCCACCACGCGGGCCTAGTGCGGATTGGCGAGTGCTAACGACTGCAGATGCAGCCGGGACCAACGGCTTAACGTGCCTTCCGAAGCACGGAGGAACTCGAGAGAGAAGATTTTTGGTCACCCATCTAATAACCGACCACTGCAAAAGTTGCTTAACTTCAACGATCGCAGCCGAATGCGCTCACCACCCGTGCCATCGAGCTCCTATTTAATTTAATAATTGCTATAACTCGTGACCTAAAAAAGAGAAATCTCAAATGACGACGTGAGACATTCTGCCTCTCGCACATGCTATTCTAAGTAACGTGCGAGAGAGATCTTCGATTTCTTTCTTTAATGACAACAGTTATACATATAGGCCACTAAGGCTCGTATTACAGAATGACAACTAAGTGTTGATCTTTACTTGAATACAGTTAGAAAGGGATGTCGCTATATATAGCACATAGCGACATTAGCTATACATATCACATAGCGCTATCCCTTTCTAACTATACTCAAGTAAAGTTGAACATTTGATTGTCATTCTGTAACAGAAGCCTAAGTCTTGTTACAGTTCTTGATTATAAAAGCTTCGTCTCTGGTGTATAATAAAACTTGAGAAAAAGGTACATGAAATCGGAAGGTAAAACTGCACCCTAAGCACGCACGAACAACTAGCGAGAAAGTATTCGTATCGCCATTCTCAAAGTTTCTATGGAAGCAGCTAGTTTGTTCTTACGGCCGGTAGGGGCGCTGCCTAGTTTCCATGGAAACTTTGACATGGCGATACGAATACTTTCTCGCTAGTTGTTCGTGCGTGCTTGGGGTGCAGTTTTACCTATCGATTCTCTGGACCGAATCTGTGGGTTTTAAGGATTTGATGATGATGATACGATTACGGAGCTATTAAAATTCGTGCTTGGGCCACTGTTCTCAAGTTATAGCGTAACTATGGGATTTTTTACAAACTTACAGATACCATCTAAAATGCTACTAACAAAACAATATTAATAATATAATATAATCTACTAGCTGACCCAACGAACTTCGTACCGCCCTAAAAAAATAGGGGTTGTCCAGCGGACAAAATTGTGAATCTAAACCATTCTCAGATCCCACACAAAAAATTTCATCAAAATCGGTACAGTCGTTTAAGAGAAGTTCAGTGACATACACACTCACAGATGAATTATATATATAAAGATATATATATAAAACTCAAAGGTGACTGACTGGCATAGTGATCTATCAACGCACAGCCTAAACCACTGGACGGATCGGGCTGAAATTTGGCATGCAGGTAGATGTTATGACGTAGGCATCCGCTAGGAAAGGATTTTGATCAATTCTACCCCCAAGGGGATAAAATAGGGAATGAAAGTTTGTATGAAACTTTGTCAATTTTAAACCGATCGGGCTGAGTCTTTGCATGCAGGTATAAGAAGAATCATAGATGAATGTAATTGTGTATAATACAAGCCTGAGAACAAAAACTGTAGTCTACACTTCAGCTCTACACCGAAGCGAAGCGAGGGCGGGCCGCTAGTTTATTAATAAGGGAGACAGTGATTAGTGACTGTTAAAATAATTGTCGATCGTGATGGAATCGTCCATCGAATTTTGCGACTTTTTATTATTGGTAAAAGGTTAGCTATAAAAGATTTTAGTATCTTATATATAAAAATCTCGAGTCACAATGTTAGTTACCATACTCCTCCGAAGCGGCCTGACCGATTTTTATGAAATTTTATATGCATATACCGTGGGTCTAAGAATCGGCTATCTATTTTTCATATCCTTAAGTGATAATGGTTGTCCACCTATAACGTAGTGTTCTGAAACCTACAATGCGCCTTCGCGCCAAAATTCAAACTATTGGGTATAGTAACGTAGTGTTGTCATATGGGTTAGGAGGAATGTTATCCCAGGAAATTGACAGAACACTACCGTTACACACCCCTAAAATTTGTTTTTGGACAATATTTATTTTTTTATAATGTGGTATTCAAAATACATACAACCCTAATCTGTCTGTAAATCGCTGGGTCAGCTAGTAACATATAATATTTCCAACACTCACACCAATTAAACTAGCCCCAAAGTAAGCAGGCTGTAGGCTTGTGTTATGGGATACTAGAGTAACGGATAGAATAAATATACTGATACATATATAATTATATTTATATAGAAATACATATTAAACATCCATGACTGGACTGGAGTACAAATGCTCGTTTTCATCACACAAACATCTGCCCCCACCGGGGTTCGAACCCGGAACCTCTCGAGTAGGCGACACCTTGAAACCCGGCATACTAACCACTCGGCCACGGAGGTCGTCAAAAGCAAAAAATATAAGCAAAAATCATCCGATATGCTTCGTATTAATGCTAAAATATTCAACCTTATTTCTAATTGCGTCAAAGTTCAAAATATAATCAATTTTATAACAAAGAGGCAAAGAGTTAATGGGGCGCTTTCTTCATCACAAAATACATTGGTAGAAATCAGGTACTTTGCTGAGCTTGTTTAACCAAATCTCTAAAACATAACCAGTAACCACGTTCAGGGAAACAACAAAATTACCATTCAACATTATTCCGTTTATGAAACTCACCTCTGAACACTGTTATCCGACACATCCCTCAAGTAGACTTCTATATCATTTTTGTCGCTGTAAATTTGCTCAGAATCGTCCTCATCGTCGTACGCGAACAACAGTTTGTCCCTTGAAATGCCAACTTTCCTGTCTCTGTATAGATATACTTTGAGGTCTTCTAGCAATCTTTGCAATTCGCTGTCTAAAGCTAAGCACAGTCTCTCCAAGGCCGGAGTATAACCTCTGTCTTGACGCGCCATACCTTAGGAAAAATGTTATTCTAACATTTAGCTCATTAAATCTCTTGTGAGCAAGGTAATGGTGTCGATTCTGGCATGATTCTCTTAACTCATCATCATCATCAGCCTATTAATGTCCCCATTGCTGGGGTAAAAGCCTTCCCTATATATGGAATAGGGAGACTGGGCCATGACCCACCACGCGGGCCCAGAGCGGATTGGCGAGAGCTAACGATTGCAAAAGCAGCCAAGACCAATGGCTTAACACGCCTTCCAAAGTACGGAGGAACTTGAAATGGAAGATTTTTGGTCACCCATCCAATGACCGACCACTGCGAAAGTTGCTTAACTTCATCGATCGCAGCCGAACGCGCTAACCACCTGCGCCATTGAGCTCCTCAGCTAGGGACCGTCTTAACTTATAACTAAATTTAATATCAGTCTCTCCTATTCATTACGCATAGAGAATGATAACAATACACTGTCGTCAAATTAAATTGAAGGTTGATAGAATCATGCCATAATCGACACCAATATTCGTTCAAATTTATCCGAAATTTCATATTTTTGTTCTGATTGTGTACGGCTTTCATATATCGTCTGGGTATTTCTAACTTAGTATATTATTTATTGAAAGGAGGGGTATAATTAAATGTACGTACATAAGAAATATCAAATGCGTAGATGCGTTTTTAACAAATACCGTACAGCGTTTGTATTTTGAGTTCGGTTTTTTTAACCAAGGTCCGGGCTTTTGTCAGAATATAAATAACAACAGCTACATTTCCATGCAGCATACACAATATTTTTTATAGAAAAACTTCAAAAAACTTTTTTAGTTCAAATTAGACACATCAAAAATACGTGATATTTTTTTATACATAGGGTTAATGTAAAGTTTTATGTAGCGATGTGAATATTTATTACATGCCTATGCTAATGGAATTCGGGTAATCGGCTAAGTAAACTGAGTCGAGTACGCCCGTATTCGGGTAGATTTTCTTTTGTTTACCAGACACCATCTTCCAGCCCGTATTCCAGTGTAAATATTGCTTCGGGTGTCCGAATTCGAGTAATGTCTTTCGTGCACTCGAATACGGGCTAACGACCAAATGTAATTGCGGCATAACTCTTCATAGTCACAGTTGTCTGGAAGAAATCGCTGTTAGCGATAAGACCGCCTTGGTTAAATCTATTGTTACTTGTTACTGTTATGTATCTGGTATTAAAAAAAGTGTTAATCTATTTATCTATGTATCTACATTGATACCTGTCATCAGTGACGTCATTACTTTTATGACGTCATTCCTGGACTCTATGACCGTTTCTCCGATCAAATCCTTCCACACGAACCAATTGATATCAGCCTCCTTCTCAACATCTCCATCTGAAGACACCCGGGTCAAGTCCACAAGTAGTTGGGTCTTGAACTCGTCATAGACTTTGGCCCATCTATTGTCTATGATCGCTTTCACCCGGGCCGTCAGTAACGGCTGGAAATAGTGACACCATACGTGGACTTCGGGAATGTCGAGGGAAGAACATATGCTACCCCAGTTTGATGGGGTTTCTGGAAAGAAAAGACCATCATCATCTTGGAGCCAAATAACACTATTTTATATCTTGCTGCTGTAATGTAAAAATAGATAATTGAGAAAAAAAAATGGTAGTTTGAGATTTCGTAAAAAAGAGTCTATGGAACCCCAAAAATAATAAGCCAGTTTGTTTCATTTCCCATGCATATATTTTTCTACGAAGGATTTTTTCTACAATCTATATATATAAAAATCAATTGCTGTTCGTTAGTCTCGCTAAAACTCGAGAATGGCTGAACGGATTTATCTTATCTTGGTCTTCAAATGTTCGTGGAGGTCTAGGGAAGGTTTAAAAGGTCAGAAAATTTCGAATAATTGCGAGGAAGATAGTAAAAATACAATTTCATTTGTCCATATAAATCAAATTCTTGTAAGCACTACGAAGTACGCTGGGTCAGCTAGTCGTAAATTCATTTTTTATCACATCTATTCTAAAAGAGCTAGTTCTCGGTTTACATAGACCAAAACAGCGTAGAAATCAAATTTACACAAAACCCTTGGTTCTGAAAATGAAAATGGGTGACATTTCAGGGAGGGCGCTAATGTCTACGCAAATCACCGTATATACACCGTATGTACATATAAGCTGTGGCCCACGGTGTTACCTGCGGTTTATTAGGGACATTTTCCCGCAGTAAAACGTAGCCTATGTGTTAATCCAGGGTGTCAGCTAACTCCATACCAAATTTTATTAAATTCCCTCCAGCCGTTTAGACGTGAACCCCTTTATAATATAAGTGAGACAAAATATGACGTTTAAAAAGACAGCGGCGTTAGTTCCAATTTCCGCCACATTCATAAAGATCCTAGTCGCACTTATAGAAAAAACCGATTTACCAACTTTAAAAGCTTCCTCCCTTATTTCATGCAAGATCTTCACCCTAGTAATCATTTGCAGCAACTACTGCACGTTTCCGTCTATGCATATACAGTGCGACAAGGATCTTTACGATAATGAGTGACATTTCACGGAGGGTGCCACTGTCTACGCAAATCACCATATATGACATACAAAATATGACGTTTAAAAAGACAGCGACGTTAGTTCCAATTTCCGCCACATTTAAAAAAACCCTTGTCGCACTATTATTTAGAGGATTTTTTAATAAATATGTATATGGGTAAATTATAAAAATATTAAGTAAAAAATGTTTGAAGTTACACCAAATACTTTAATAATTTTAGTATCGTTATATTTGTTGTCTTATAATGTTACTATCGAACATTTTTGTATTACTGTAACTTCCTCACTCACAATGTTTAACTCCCGGGTTTGTCAACATGTTGTAATGCGAACCATTTAGCAAAACTGAAATATTAGGTCTTTGCGTTACGAACTCAGCTCAGTGCGAAAACCACTGTTTAATTGTAAAAGTTGTGTGTGTTGTGCTAAGTTAAAAAATATGTATTGGTGAATAAATATATTTTTTTTATTTTGATTTTTGATTATAGAAAACAACCGACTTACCAACTTTAAAAGCTTCCTCCCTTATTTCATGCAAGATCTTCACCCTTGTAATGTTTTGCAGCAACGACTGCACGTGTCCGTCTATAAAGGACTTCACCCAAACATTCCACTCTTGGATGCATTTCGTTATTTCAGCTTTGGCTAAAGATTGAACCTCTTTATTCGAAGAGAGCCTGTAAAATATAGTAAGTAAATAACATACATTATCACACAGGGTTTGATTTTAGGGCTCAACTATAATTCTACTTCATTCTGCTGAATTCGTAAATCTATAATCTAAATAATTCTGCTAACTAATAATAGTTCATATAAAATAAGTATTTGTAGCACATATCCGTCTATAAATGACTTAAACCCAAACATTCCAGTCATGGATGCATTTCATTAACTCGGCTTTGGCTAAAGATTAAACTTCTTTGTTTGAAGGCTCTCTTCGATTGACTATTTATAGATACTTTAGATACATAATAGACAATATCAATGTAGGTTTGATTTCGGGGTTCCATACTGAAAAGTAACCAATGAAGACAATTTTGATCACGCATCCAATGACTCGCCGCCTTGCAAATTTTGCATTGCAAAAACTGCTTACCTTCCATGATTGTAGACCGAGCGTGGTAACCACTATCAAGGTTCTCTTTTTTCTCTTCAAATAGTCTAATGAATTTTTATCAGTAACAATATCTGTCTCCGTAGCATGAGCACCACGATTTACATTTCAACACGTTTTTTATGGAGTCTAACTGTCAAACTCCATTGTAATTTGACAATAGAGCCTGATAAAAGCATGATATATATCATATCGCGGTGCTCATGCTGCTCATTGGGCAAGTTCTATTCAGCTCATGACACAACCACAAATGATAGGTATTTCCAAAGTTTTGGATAACGTAACTACATACCTGTAATTACAAATAACTGGTGGTAGAAGTTTAAGTCCTGCTGGATCACTGAATCGCACTAGCTCTATCAAAGGTTGCGAGTCTCGCCTAAATAGCTCTTTTAGCTTTGCTAACACTGCACCTCCATCATTATCTGTAAATTTAAGAACATTCTAGCATGATTTTCTGAACCTAAAATTAAATTCGACAACAGTGTATCCTTGTAATTTTCTATACAGAACGAAAAGGAGACATTGATGTTCTAATATTCAGTTTAATAATCAAGTCTACAGAATCATTCCAGAATCGACACCGTTGGATGGATATAATCAAATATTATATTTAAGTACAGTACAAAAATCTGTTAAATACATCTTTAATTTTTATATATGGCAGCGCTAAAATAAACTCTAGATATATATATATATATATATATATATATATACACTGCATCTTACAAAAAAAAAGTCACCAAGGGCTGAAGGGTACCAAGATGAGCATTAAGCAGTAAATATATTTGCCTGTCGTGTTGTGTCGTCATGTAGCGTCAGAGAGGTATCGGTTTCATACATTATATTTGTGTATAGTTAGAATTATATTTGTGTGTCCGCGATGTGTAGTTATGTGTAGACGAACAACCTCACCTACAAAGCAAGCATACACCAATACAACCGTCTTCAACACAATCTTGACTCCGTTCACAATCTTCTCCCGTATTTGAACTTTAACATCTCCATCCAGGATTTGGTTCAGGTCAAACTGTAGGGTGGACTTTAAACTACTGTGGCTCTGAAGACTGATCAACGTATTCAATAACTCCACCATGGTTTGTGAGTCCAGTAGGTATAGACTGACGAGACAGGAGCATGCTACCTGTATAATAAACAATCCACAGTTCCAGACACATCAATCAGCCCCACTAGCATTTGAAGTTTGGAGGATCCCTAGCTAAAAATGACTGCTGCATTGAGCAGAAAGTTATTTTCTGTAACCTACGCAGTTTTGAAGCCAATTTATCAACAACCTTTTCGCGTTTAAAATTATTGCTCAAGCATAAACATGTATTTTTGCTACAGACCGTTGCAACATATAGCAATAACTGATAGATGTGTCTGGAAGTAAAGTTACCTATACTAGTTAAATATATAAAAAAAACTCTAATGCCAGCACTTAACTTGGCTTTTTGTGTTTACTATCTGTAAACTGGATATCAGTCTTTTTCAACAATTACTCTAACTATGTTATAAATACCTCAACACCAATGTCAACATCATGCAGTTTCTGTCTGCAAACATCTATTATTGTCTGATTGAAGTTTGATACAGAGTTCCATTGTTGTTGGACCAGCCTTTGCAGAGACTGCATGCCTGGCTTAACATTTTTACCACCAATTTGTAGTTGAAGACCTATAAATGAATAAATACATTATCATTATCACTATTTACTAAACTAAGATAAAATGAAACATTTATCCAATCACCAGCTTTACTTCTATGCAACTCAAATAAAACCTATAAGTACTATGTTCCTTTTCAATTCAAACTTGTTTATTTTTCATATGTTATATCAAATGTTTACATTCTACGCCTCTGTAACTCAAAACAGCAAATGACAGCACTAGTACTTATAAGTTTCAAAAGTATACAGTCACAAGTAATTGAAATTGTATTAATTCTGATTTATTCAAATTATCTACATATAATTTTAAGTAAGTGATTCTGACTTACTTAATGTCAATAATATCTCTAAATAACTTGGTAGTAGATGTCTATTTATTGCTTCTTGTGAAAGTTAGTTAGAGCTAATACCACTCACAATGGTAAGTAAGCAGAGGCATTTTGAAATAAAAACAACCTATTTAATGTAATAAAAAATTACCTGTGTTTATGTGCCTGGCTATTATAAACAGCTGTGTTGCTTTCACAAAGTCTTCAACTTCTATACAAGTCCATATTTTTTCTGGAATCTCCATGAGCAATTTTACTTGGACTGCTATACTATGAACCGAATCTGTACTGAAATGATAGCTGAAATTGGTGTTTTGTAATAAATGTAATTTCAATAATAATATAATCTTACCTAGCAATTGTACAAATCAAGAACCACAAATTGCAAAATAATTGTTTGAATACTTTATTGTAAGTATTGTGCATCTTCGTTCTATAAAAAATAACACTATATTCAATGCATTTACTTAAAAGCTTGGCTGATTGCAAATAAAAATATGAAAAAAAAAACTTGTAACTCTCATGTTTAAATAGAGTTGTTTTTACAAAAGTTTACTAACAATTAATATTTTATAGGAGAAGTTTATCTTACTTATGAGATATCGGGGGTTTCTCATTGATTTTAAACCCCACTAAGTGTGTATTATGTAAGTTCTTGCAGGAGGACATGATTTCACCAATATGGTTCAAAGTGCTTGCAGATGTTGACTTCATCTCTTCAATTGTGTCAGCTGCATGAATCAGGTCCCTATATCGCTCACTGAAAAAGAAGCAAAACAAAGATTATAGTAATAAATGCAATTAAAAATAGGTAAACTCATTTTTTTTTTGTTTCATGTTAGATCAGCAGTTAATATTATTGTACAAGAGCATTGAGTGTCTTACTTAAGTTTCATTTTAAGGGATTTCTAATTCGAATTTATTAATGTCAGTGGTTTAAACTTATAAATACCTTTGCTCAAAAGAATGGAATCACTTTATTATTTTACGAAATATAATATTGTTCACTAGGCTGATATTAAGATTGATGCAAATGTTTTTTGCATTAAAGTACCTACCCAACCATAGCCCTAAGCTCTTCTCTTTTCCTTTCAATCTCATATTGCAGTTTCTTCTGCACTTGGTCGATATCAGTAATAAAATGAGTTTGGAACAGCTCTTCGGGGTCGATTTCCAACAAGTTTGGTTGTGCCATGTTGTCAATAAATTAATAAATCTCTTTTGGTATGCTGCAACTGTTACTCATTAAGGGAACATCGAAGTAAATATTAAAACAGTAATAACATTTTTATTTTCAGTTTTATCGCCAACTCGCAACTTCACAACGACAACGACAACAACACCAGTGTTGCCAGTACCAACGTCGTGTTTCGGACGATTCGAAACTGAAAAGGGACGATTTTTAGTAAAAAAGGACGGACATTTGACAGCAGTGCATCCTTGTCATTCTCTATGCAGAATGACAAGGGATACTGATGTTAAATTTAGTTTTAAGTTTAGAGAATCACGCCAGAATCGACACCAATGTACAACGAATTGTGATGGCAATTTAGTAAAATAAATCAATGAGTGAAACGAAACGTATTCGTCTAATATTACAGTGAAGTGTTATCGAAAACCGACGGAAAAGGGACGGAATATGTAAAAGGACATCGATGGGACGTTTTGATGACAAAAGGGACGAAAATCGTCCCTTTTGGGACGTTCTGGCACCACTGAACAACACCCAAGATGTCAATGTCATTGTGCGAATTGTCACTGTCAACTGTCACACATACATCATTTTTATAATACTTCTTTTTTGAAAGCAAAGGAAATACAATCCATTAATCTTCAGCTTTATACATTTATTTTGTCTTGATAACATTAGAGCCCGGTTAAAATGTTTGTTAATGTTTCTTGAAGTTTTTGATACGACAACAGTGTATCCTTGTCATTTTCTATACAAAATGAAAAGGCGAGACTGATGTTAAATAAAGTTTTAAGTTTAGAAAATCATACCAGAATCGATACCATTACCGTGATAAATGAGCATGTCCATCCAAGGTATTAAACCAAGAATATAAAAATCCGTCTTCGAAAAAAGACTTTATGAAAATGTGGAGCCAGCTAAAGAGCCAGCTCCGCTTTTGTATTTCCTAAGAATGAACTGAATGTTAAGCAGTCGCGTAACGAAGGAGAGGTGCGGTACGCCTCGGGTGGCAAGTCTGTGGACTAAGAGGGCGGCAGAATAATTTGGTTGCAAGCGTCCGAAGAACTCAAAGCCTGTTACAGTCTTACAGTATTCCATTGTGACATGGGGTGGAGTGGGAATCAGTGCTTTACTTCCTTTATAGTGTTCACAAAGGGCAATACTGAAGTGTACTGCAGGTGATGCTTGGCAAAACGAGGAAATACAGTAAGAGCCTTCTGTATAGTGAATGTCAAGTTTTGGCAGTTAGGAAGCTGTTTATAATGAGTGATATACTTAAAAACACAAAAATGTAGTTAGAAACATAAGAATAGAGGAGCTTTTCTAATACATTCCCACAAAACAATATTATATTTGTAAACCTAATAAAGAAACAGTAAATAACATTGTATAACTATCCCATCACAAATACAAATAAAAAAAAAACGACGGGTTGCACTCCGGGAGTGCCGGCATAAGTGAACACTTGAATATTAAATAAAAAGTTGTGCATTTTTGATATTTTTGGAATGGTTAGGGAATAATTTTGCACGATTGCTTTAATTATCAGTATAAAAGTACTATCATGTATGTGGTAGTATACAATATTTATGTATGGCGCTATCGTACACAAACATGACAATTAATATTACATTAAAAAGTTTATCTCTCAGAAAAATCAACTTACATGAATCACGTATAAGCGCACTTAGCGACATCTATTGTAAAGAAATCAACTTACATGAATCACATTTAAGCGCACCTAGCGACATCTTTTGTAAAAAAAAATGGATTTTCTTCGCAATAAAGCTGCCACGTGGACGTCCTAGATAGAGACTTATTATTATAATACGGTAAAATAAAATATTACTATGTTTCGCCCAATATATTGAAAGTCAACAACCTTTCCAATTTTATTGTGTGTAATGATGCGATCAGCCCACGTGTTTAACCTGACGCGAGTTTAACTTTTATTATCCATACAAAAAAAGTTTACAACGCCGCTAAAGAAGTTTTCACTTCAATAAGACAATGGTGATTAAGTTCGAATTACAAAAGAAATATACTGGAAATAAATTTAACTATGTACACACACATAAACACCTTAAATTTAAACAAAAAGGGAAAATACGACACTCGCGGCTCAAAAGTGATCCGCTTAAATTGTAGTGCACGATTACAATTCGCTGTAGTCACCATAGTCAGTCAGGTCCATAACCCAGATTATAGCCCATCCAGATCCAACGCAAAATCACAGTAATGTTACACCTGTAGATCCAATAGTTATCTGTACACACGCTAGGGATGCTCAGAGACCATCATATATTAGTATGATGTAGTCAGAGACTAGATCCGGCATGTGTGCCACATACTTAAAGAGTAACGACGCTTGAAATAGCCTCTACGTGTTGGATTTATATCCCCACGCATGCCTTATAGGACCGGGTCATTTTTGATCCGTGAAGCTACTAAATCAAACTAATAATGATAACAAAAATTATAGTTCTGCCCCGGGTGTCTATAGCCCACGCTGCGCCGCTAATGTAAAGTGAAGGGACTTTGCCAACTCTAGAAAAAGAGAAACTGATGATGACATCCAAATAGTCCAAAACCTTTAGGATCTAGGAGCTGCCACCAGCGACTTTGTCCGCATTGACTTTAGTTTTTTGTAATCCCTTAGGAATCTTACACTTTTCCGGGATAAAATAGTAGGTAATATTTTCAATCTAGATCATATACTTTATGCGTACTAAATTTCATCCAAATCCATTCAGTAGTTTTTGCGTCATTGAATAACAAACTTATTAAAAATTTAATTAATAAAATTAGTAAGATTGAGTGGTGTAGGAACGAATTTGCGAGTTTTACTTCACAGTTGGACAAGGAACGCTCAGTTCGGTATGTCTGTGGCCCTACGTCAGGGGCATATTTAACTGACGGTTTAGACGGATCAGCAAACCAGGGGGGGTGTACAAAAAGTGGCCCGTCTCAGATTTAGAGGCCGCCACTCCTGCATTGCCCCAGGGCCCTCTCTAAATCCGGGCCTGATCTATCTTATCATCATCAGAAATGCAGATGCATCCGGCACCAACAGCTCTACATCTCTTTTGAAACAAGGAGAGACTTGAAATGATACATTTTGGTTACCCATCCGATATCCTGCCATTGCAAAAGTTGTTTAACATCGAAAATGAAGGTATTTGGGGACTCCTCCCTACCGAGATAAAACCAGATAATACCCCCTGCACCAGTTACCCGGCACGCGATCCAAGGACCAAGGTGCGTGACAAGAATGCGGGTGTAATCTTGGCACCCACTAAAGATTTGTCACACACCCGCAAGATCCCGATTGTCCGTGAACGCACACACCCCTATAAAGATGTCCCGGGGCATCAAGGGCATCGACATCCAGAAAGCTTATTTATAAACAATATATAAAAAAGAAACAAAGAGCTGTCCAAATAATAAATATAATTAAAGAAATACAATTAAATTTGCAGGAAAATAACAATTACTTGCTTATAATCAAATCCGTCCTAGCTTAATATAATTATCGCTGGTTATGAAAAGATATCACATTTTACAGATCATTAATAATAATTTAAATCCATTTTTCTGTGTTAAGTACTAACTTTACTGTTAAAAGGAATAATATTACAATAAGTTGTAACATTGTTGGGAATGCATTGGCTGCAAAATAATAGTTTACTTTTCAGTTCACAATATTTTTATTAAATTGGACAAAATATGAATAATATTCCATTTTTGTTTTGTCATCTGATTTTTTAGTCAAGACCTATACAATACATAAGTAATAAATTCACTAACCATTTTATAAAACGATATTTAATTTCCGTAACATAGTAGCGCTTTAATAAGTTTCACTTAATATTTTCACAATATTATCCACTAAAAATGGAAATCTACGAATAAAATAATTTGCGCTGCAAGCTTGCAATACAAATAAAAAACAAATATCTATGATTTTCCTAAAAACTAACATTCTTTAAAAATGCTTAGTGAAAATAATAATAATTAAATAGTTTTGCTCTAGAAGTAAAACTGTGTTTTTTAATTGTTTACTTAGTTACTCTTCTCGTAACTCCGGCGAATTTCAAGGTAAGTAGATTGCATAATTATTTAAGCTGATTGACTCCTGTTCACAATATAGTCAGTCAGTAATTGTATTTATTCATGACGAGATATTTTTTTTTGTTCATAAGGGAACAGGTTTTTTTATTACAGCCAGTTAAAGATATTCCACAATATCGTCAAAAATCCGAATGTTATGTCGGCACTTCGCTTGCCTATTCGTGTTTCTTATTTGTAAACTTAAAATCTCTGTCATTTTCATTCCTTATAAAGCATGATAAAGACGGACTGTAGTCAAGTTTACAAACCTATATATATATAAAAATCAATTGCTGTTCGTTAGTCTCGCTGAAACTCGAGATCGGCTGAACGATTTATCTTATCTTGGTCTTGATATGTTCGTGGACATCTAGGGCAGGGTTTGAAAGGTGAGAAAATTTTGAATAATTGACGGGAAACCCCTAAAAACAGCGAGCGAAGCTGCGGGCAAAAGCTAGTAGCAAATAAGAATAGCCAAGTGGAGTGCCGGCATTAAGGAAATCGTAGGACCGACGCTAATCTTTTGTGAACGCGTGTATGACTTTGAATCGAAAATTGGAAACCCAGACAACAAGAAATCTTCCAAATTTCCAATGCAGATAGTAAAAGCCTGCCTTATAGAAAGGGCAAGAAGTCGGGCAGGATGGCTGGTAACTTATTAGTATTATTTCCGGATAATATCTTAGATCAAAACAGTATCAAAGAGGTAACAAGAGGAGGAAGTGATCTTAATGCATTTTTGAATTGCTCTGTTATAACTTTGACGCACTGCTAACCCCGACTGGAATATATTGCACCGAAACACGTTATCGAGAGTCGATTCGATACTGGTGCCAATTCTGGCGTGATTCTGTAAACTTAAAACTAAATTTAACATAAGTCTCTCCTTTTCATTCTGTATAGAGAATGACAAGGATATACTGCTGTCAAATTTAAGTATAGGTTTAGAGAGTCATGCTAGAATCGACACCACTGTCTGTGTTTTTCGTTAATTACACAATTCGTATGTTAATTTAATACTCCAAATGCTTTTTAACTTTTTAACTAAAATAACAAGGAACTATAATCTTGTACTTAACATTCACAAAATGCAAACAGGAAAATCATTATTTATGGATCGAAATACAAACTGGACAGACATCACAGATGGTTTCTTTGTCAGATACAGAGTAACCCGTCATATAATTCGCATTTAAGAAACAGCTATAAATTAAATCTTTACTATCTTAAAGGTTCACCATTATAAACTTCTTTTATTATTCTAAGAGAATAAAATACAAGCAGGATTAAGTAGTTGCTAGTGAATAGTCATATCGATATTATAACGATCTCTAACAACACTCACTCTGTCGACAGTCTTGCAGGTAGTGCTGTAATATACTCATATTATAAGGCTGAAAAGTTTGTTTGTTTCATTTTTTGGTTGAACGCGCTATTCTCAGGAACTACTGGACTGATATGAAAAAAACTTTTTATGTTGGATAGTACATTTATCGAGGAAGGCTATAGGCTAAACAACATTTCGCTATCATCAAGACCAGTAGGAGCGGAGCATCTATGAAAATGTTTCGAAAACGTGGAAATAATGTTCCATATGAGAGCTTCCGTTGCGTGCGCTGCGTAAATGGTTAAGTTACAGAAAAATCATGTATGAAGGAATTGTTCCCCTTTAAATATACTTTCAAAAAGTCCGCGATATCATGTGTCCATCTTTTGAGTTTGACTTACTGTAACCTTTTACCTCCATTGACCATAGTCATTGACATAGACTTTGGGCGACATGAAGTTCGCCGGGTCAGCTAGTATTATTATATACGCTTTAAACAGTGTTGGGTATTTTTCTTACATAGAATGACTGATAAAACCACTCACGATGGATAATAATTAGGGATGTAACGATACGGCTATTTCGATACCAATACGAATGACGAATACATCGCAATTGCCCAATATGATAACGAATTACGATACGCGATACGCATTACGATTTTTGTTTTATAGCATTTTATAGAATTTATTTGTATCACTTATATTAAGACATACTAAAAGAAATGCGTTTTGATGCAATTTATTTACGTATTTAATTTTATAATTACATAAGTTATCTTTTTAAATGTACTTTTATTTGTTATTTTTTTTTTGTTAAAATGGATGGGTGCGTTCAAATATTGACGCATTATCGGTTTCATTTCACTCGAAACTGTAGTAACTACTGTAAAAATATTGAAAAAGGATGAATCGTATACATAGAATCGTAATGTTTTTCGATAACGAATGAACGTAAACGATTATCGACGATATGCGATAATCGTATCGGTATCGTTGCATCCTTAATAATAATTTGTAAATCAATATGTGATGAGAACTTTCAACTTCAAACTTTTCAAAGTCAGGGTGAACTTAATCATGTTCCATAATCATTACATTTGGCATCTTTGAACTGTTTGCTCTATTTCGATTGAAAATTGGTAAAATTTCATTAATTTGTCTCGTGATTTGTGAATCTACGATTGACAAACGTATTCGTAACATTTGCAGTGTATAATTAGCACTGCTACTGTTACGTAATAAGAGCGCTGTCATAGTTGATTTGTAGCTTTCATAGTGAAGCCAAAAATCATGTATAAATATCACAAACACTTTAATGGTGAACCTGAGATTCATTCACGCTTCAGTTTACGCTAATTATGCGCGTATGTTTTAACTACGTTCTGGGAATACTTTATTAGAAAATAAATTTATACATAATAATATGATAGTCTTTTCTCTGTACCCCGAGAAATCTTCAAAGTAGTTAGTTGGCATAATGTAAAAGTACCTCTATTATATATTTTTCATGAAAAAAAAAACACTAAAATATTTATTTACAAACGAAAGCGTAACCATCGACCATCAACTATTCGCAGGTAACTCAGGGTACAATTAAGATCATGAAGTTAATCAATAATTCAGTCATTATAAATCAATCATAATAATCATTATGATTACACTTAAACAATTAAAAAAAAATACATAAATAGGACCGTAAGAAAGAACTTATTGGCTTAAAATACCTATACAGAAATAAAAAAAATAGTTTCGTATTTTTCTTTATAAAAATATACAATAACACTAAAAATATCCATGTTTAACGGTGCAACATTGATTTATCGATAACTTTAAAACTACACTTAAACCAAGCTAAAAGGGTGTACAAATAATACAATTCTTATATTGAGTTTCGTTTCTATACTCTGGTTGGCTGTAAATATAGATTTAAATTTGTTATAAATTCTATCTTTTCCTTGCCATGTAGCTCTTACTTCTATATGATATCCCACTCGAGACATGGCGTGAAAACGAATGTAATTAGGTAAAACAAGTGATGACATTTCATTCTTTATAAATAACCACAATAGAAAATTCATTCAGGTAAATGCAGATAAATAAACAACTAATCGCGCAAGTAAATCCAGGTAAATGAACAACTCATCGCATCTTAATGAACATGATAGTGAACAAAACTCTCCAAAATTACGAAATCATTCTTTATTTACAGCCTCGTAAAACACAATGTTCACAGATTTTCCTGTTTCCTTCCACTATGAGATTGCTTTAATACATCACCTCGTAAACTGTGGCTTTCTTATCTCCCGAACCTGTCACTATGAACTTATCGTCCGCAGCAATATCACAACTGAGCACCGATGACGACTCCTTTGACTGAAACGAAAGTTAAACGTTAATAAAAGGTTAGACTAGTGAGAATATCTTATTTAACATGAACTTCGTACTGTTATAACCTGCCTACCTAATGCCTACTACAGAAATGTTGCTGACTTAGGAAAACTATAATGAATAATTATTTCCAATATTAAAATTGTGATCAGCAATATTTTTATGTATAAAAACCCGCGATTTCAATATTACAGTTAGTCTTGTTCTGATTTGTGGAATTGCTGCCCAACAACGGACCTGGTTTCTGCCTGCCGGTTGGCCTTCAGCAAGGAAACTCTGAGGAACTATTCAACGGCCTAGTAAACTAGCCCGTCGCGAGTCGTTATCCTTAAAACTAAAAGGAAGTAGTAGTGAACAATAAAGTGATAGCAGTGTTATAACAAACATAAATATATAAATAAAGTGATAGTGAGCAAATAAAGTTTTTTTTTTTAAATTAAACTAAGTGCTCCGTCTAACAGTACGCATGAAGTGTAGTTTTGAGAATTCCCAGATGAATGAAGTCCTATATTCTAAATTGTATAGTTTTTAAAGTATCTAGATTTCTTTAAAGTATTAAGTTTTGTCACTATTAGAATTTTGTTATTGCCGAAAATTCCTCACTTTGCTTGATTTTTGAATTTTACAAATTCAATTTTACGTATCATTAGTAAACAACAACTTTTTTAGGGCGATTGTGTTTAAGTAGCGACGAAAATGAAACTATTTGGCTTATTAATTTTTATTGCGATAGAGTTAAGCTAACTTTTTGTTATTTTTGGAAACATTTTAAGCATATTTTTATGCTAATACAACTTAATTTTGTTTCAATACTTGGTTGTTTTATTTCTGACTGTGTGCCGTCATATGTTGACCGAAGAACTTGAATATTTCTCATATTAATGTTTAAATTTTAATTAAAATAGCATATTTAGCTAGTTAATTACATATTCTTTGATAACAGAGTAAATTTCAGCAATTTCATTTGATCCCAAAATTATATTTCCTGCTCGTCACGGGGTCAATTTTTCTGAAAATCACCCAGTTACATACAAACAAACATACAGGCGAAACTAATAAAAGCGTGTTAAAGAATTTATCAATAAAAACGCTTACCTGAAATATGCTAGCTCCGTACGGCGTGCGCCATGCATTGAGCAAGTTATCTTTGCCCGTTGACACGAACCATTTGCCGCACGCCGCGAACCGGAGCGATAGAACGCATGATTCGTGGAGTACTAACTGGTAGCGGTCAGGTTTTCCAGCGTGCAACACTTCTACGTGAGAATTCTCCATGCCTACCGCGAGCCATGAGCCTGGGATGAAGGAAACGAATTGCTTATTAAACACTATATATGAGTACGTTAATTATACAGGATGTACAGAAAACCTATGACAGAGACTAAAATTATGCATTCTGTACAACCAAACAACTAATATTATAAAATATTATACGTGGGAATTATTTGTATTTTTAAGTTAAAAAATAAGTTTTTTTTTCAGTACGCAATTTATAGCGCGGCGCGCTACTGTGGCACTACGCAAAGAATGTGCCTGTGTGTATGTGTGTGCGTGTGTGTAAGAGCGTCGATAAAAAAGTTTCTAAACGTTTTGAAAATATTAATGTAAAAATCTCGAAAAACAAATTGTGGAAAAACAAACGACTTTGAACTTTAATATCTCCATAACCATAAATTTTCCAGGTATGGTCCAGAAGAAAAAACTGATCGTCATGATGTGGCCTTCGACTTCGTTAAAGGATTTTTTACACCGTGGAGAGGGTGGCTAACGAGGGTGGGTCACTCAAGTCTCATGAACAAACTATATTGTCAAGGCGACCTGTCTATATGAGCTAAGTGGTTAAGGAACTTTCCGAGCCTTTTTTTCCGAATTGTAGTAACTATAGAACACACAATTCGTTTTGTTATGAAAATTTACGTCATCAGTAGGTGACGTGAGGTCTTTTTGTCATGGTTGTGATTGTCAAAGTTTCTATAAAAACTTAACAGCGCTCCTACCGGACATTAGAACAAACTGGCTCCTTCATTACAAATTTTGTCAATGTCGATACTATTACGAAGATGTCAAAATTCGTGCTTCGACCTTAGTAACTTTTCAAATGGTGAGCACTACAATAAGTGGCTAATTGTAGAAAAGCCAAAGGCTTGGAAAAAATCTACCTACTATAACAAAACAAAGAACACCTGTAGGACAGTATCCCAGTGAGAATATCTGGATGGGCAAGTCGTGCTACAGCTCCCGACCCTCCCTTCAATCCCAAGTTCGTACTGTGTTATCTAAACCTAATTACGCCTAATTACAAATAACTTCATATGGCGCTTGTTGACACTAACGCAAATAGCAGAAAGCACTATCCACAAGACTATGACCACGTTTGTAAAAGTTTAATGACTATTTCAATGGACTGTGATAGGGCTTTTCGAGTGCTGGGATAGGTGAGCAATTTTTTATAGGGAAAGTTCTGATAAATTGCTTCACACTGTAACAAAATGGAGCATACCTGTAGGACAGTATCCCAGTGCGAATATCTGACTGGAGAAGTCGTGCTATCCCAGGATCGCACTGTGTATCTAAACCGCCTGTCCATAGCCGGAAAGTTATATGGAATCTATCCGATTGACTAGCGATCGGCAAATTATCGTGCCAGAAGTCAAATAAGAAATATACTACCTTTTGCTTGCTGACATTCACGCAAACAGCATGAGCAGATCATGCGTAATTACCACGTAGAAGTCCAGTAACTTTTTCAAGGGTGTTGTTAAATTACCAATTTTCGAAAAGCCTTTTCTTGAGACAGGCTTGATGAATGGCTTCGTTCGTACTGTAATCAAATGGAAATTTCATTTATATATTAGTTTACCTGTTGGACAGTATCCCAGTGAGAATATTTGGCTGGAGAAGTCGTGCTGCTGCAATTGCCGACCCTCCCTTAGATCCCATGATCTAACTGTGTTATCTAAACCGCCCGTCCATAGCCGCGTTCCGTCCGGACTTATATCGATGCACGAAGCGCCGTCTGTGTGACCTTATGGGAGAAATAGACGAAAATACACCTTGTTAGTATTAAATATGGAAAATACACCTTGTTAGTATACAAGTAAGACTCTAATAGGGATAATGAAGGGATGAGAAACAAAATTCTATTTAGTCCGTCAGTTAGATTTCCAAAAATAACGGACACTTATATTTTTCTTTTGTCAGTCGATCAAAAACTTATAAAGATAAAGCGCGTCAAGTTTGGAAGTGGTGGCACGTGACGTCACTTCTAAGTAAAAAAATTACGTAAACGTGACGTCATGCGACATTTCCAATTAATATACATATATCAGTAAAAGTTTATGTGGAAAAATAAAAAATACGTGTTTAATACTTTTTGATAATAAACCCGATAGACGAAAAAAAAGTATGTCATCATCTCGATCAGCGAACAGTCAGTAATTTAATGTGTTAGTGCATGAAGCGCCATCAGTGTGACCTTATTTAAACAATGACCATATTACACAAAGCTCAAATTATACTCTTCTTAACTAGAGTCCACATTACTAAATTTTTGTTGGAAGGTGCCGGTTCGAGGCTGCTGATGCCTGGACCGCGTAGAATTTTATCTTTTGCTTTAGGTAAAATAATAACATAACGAACATTGATCAGTATTAAACAACACTGTTTTTGCTGACCCAGCGAACTTCGTGCCGCCTAACAATTGAATGGTCGAATGTGGTTATTATCGAGTGGACCCGAGTCCTCCGTACCACCCTTAGCACTAACCAATATCGAATTCGAATAGTTTGGTAGTGCGAAATGTCATTGTCAAATGTGTACTGATTTTTAGTTCTCGTTACGTCCGTTATGGCGCTGCTATTGTAGTTTCCATACAAAATTTGACAATGACATTTCGCACTCGCAAGCTATTCGAATTCGATATGCATCGTATAGGGACGTACGTCAAATGGTTGAAAGGTAAGTTGGAAGAACAGTAATTTATATGGGAAAATGATATTGTATTTTTATTATCTTTCTCGAAGTTTTTCCATATTTTTTCACCGTTTAAGCCCTTCCTGAGCTACGACAAACATTTCAAAACCAAAATCAGCTAAATATATATATATATATATATATTTACCGTCGTATTTATAAACAAGTAAATTCTGCTTAAGTAATAATTTCAGCAACATACATTTAATATTTAAAAAATTGATCAAAGTAAGCACTGTCCTAACTGAGAATAATAACAACTCGTGCCATTAAAGAAAGGTGTCGAAAATGCCGACGCGGGACATTCTGTCTCTCTCACAAATTAATAAGGCCAGTATGTGCGAGTGGGACAGAATGTCTTACGTCGTCTTTTGGGATTCGTTTTTTTTTAACGCAAATCATAACCAACTAACAGTCACAGTTTTCTTCGCCAAGTAGCAATTCGTTTTATTGAACAATTTTAGTGTCAAATAATGACTTGGTTACTTAGCAAAAAGCAATTTCGCGTTTATAAATACGAGTGTTAGTCTACCATTATGTCAAAGTTGAACACTTACCTTGGAATTGTCTAACTAATGTTTGGTTCTGTAGATCCCATACCGCTATATTGCCATCTGAACAACAACTGAAGCATACCTACAAAAATATATTATTATTAATGATATGCAGCAACAATTAGCGCAAGAACTTTAAACTGAGGCCATGAGAACCATAATGGCCTAACTCATTTTTTACAATATTGAGTTTATGATTTTTTCCAGTTCAAAATGATCATTTTGTTAGAACCAGAGTGGTCTAAAAGTGATGCAACGAATATTCACTAGATGGCAGCATAATTACTGTTACGGTTTTTAGTCTGTGATCTAAATTTTAGGAGCCATACTGGCCTAAGTAAGATAGGCCACTATGGTTAAAAAATGAGTTAGGCCACTATGGTTTTCATGGCCTCAATTGGACGACATATACACAAACCACAAACTACTTTATTATTTATAGACAAGTAATTTTGTTAATGAAAAAAAAATGATCGCAACGTGTTTTGATTGGAATGGACTGAACGAAACCCTTATTTTGACACAACGATAGAACATGAAGGGAAATAGCAAACTTATTAAAGATATTAATCTTGAAATCGTATTGTGATACGAGTTGATATTACACAATTAACCCCTTATCGCTTAAAATCGCTTCCTCCATTCTCAATAATTTCAAAGTCCCGGGATAAGATACAGCCTACGATCCAAATCCCGGGACGCCCTGAGACTTCACATTAATGAAAAGGCGATTTTTTTTTAAAAAATCAACATTTATTAAACATAAAAGAAAACCTAATAATTTAAACGTTTGGTGTCGATTCTGGCGTGATTCTCCGAATCTAAACTTAACAGTGTATCCTTGTCATTTTCTATAAAGAATGAAAAGGGGAGACTGTATCAAGTTTAGAGAATCATGTCAGAATCAACACCGATATCAGTCTAAATAACTGTTATGTTTATTTCTTGATTAAGAACTGACTGAGCTGTCACAGACGCAATAAAATACCAAACGTCACAGACCAACCAAAGTGGTGGCGCAGCAAACTCAATTATTGCGTTGTGAACAAGCCAAAAATATAGTTTTTAGAATTATTGTCTTTGTCTTATAAACTCAAAAAGTACTGCATGGATTTACTTCAAATTTGGCGCGAATATTATTAAGAAGTCGGGTCAACATATAGATTTCATATTATCACGCTATCACCTACAGGGAACAAGCAGTGAACCTTTATTTCTAACTAACTCCACGCGTACAAAGTCGTGGGCGGCCGTTAGTGTAGTAATAATGCGATTACCTTAGAGTCAGGGCTAATAGCGAGAGCGTAGCACGCAGGCGCTGAAGAAGTGAGTTCCGCGCGCATTCGCGGCGTGGGCGATGCCAAATCCCATATAGAAAGATTCGATGCCTCCCCACCGACTATCAACGTCCTTCCATCCGGTAGCAGTTTTACTGATCTTATGTAGTTATCTCTTTGCTGAAACATTATGTACCGTTGAGTCTTAAAATCTATAGCATGAAACGTTGAATTTCTAGTACCAAAAGCTACTTAAAATTGAAAGTTGAAAGTGGTTTAATTACGCAGCCATAAGAGCGAAATTTAAATTACATATAGAAAGATTCGATGCCTCCCCACCCACTATCAACGTCCTTCCTCGTTAACCCTTTGCTGAAATAGTATGAACCGTTGAGTCCTAAAATCTATAGCATGAAACGTTGAATTCCTAGTACCAAAAGCTACTTAAGATTGTAAGTTGGAAGTGGTTTTATTACAGAGCTATAAGAGCGAAATTTAAATGCCATATGGAAAGATTTGATGCTTCCCCACCCACTGTCAACGTCTTTCCGTCCGGTAGCAGTTTTACTGATCTTATGTAGTTATCCCTTTGCTTGAATAGTATGAATCGTTGAGACTTAAGAGCTATAAGTACGAAACGTTGAATTCCTAGTACCAAAACTACTTAAAATTGCAAGTTGAAAGTGGTTTTATTATGCAGCCATAAAAGCGAAATTTAAATCCCAAATGGAAATATTCGACGCTGCTCCGCCTACTATCAACGTCTTTCCGTCCGGTAGCAGTTTTACTGATCTTGCGTAGTTTTCTTATTACTTATCCCTTTACTAAAATCGTTTGAACCGTTGAGTCTTCAAAAATATAGCATGAAACGTTGAATTCTTAGTACCAAAAGCTACTTAAGATTGAAAGTTGAATGTGGTTTTATTACGCAGCTATAAGAGCGAAATTTAAATCGTTGAATCCCCAGAATAGCTACTTAAGATTACAAGTTGAAAAGATTATCCTTACTTTTTATAGGAGGTTAATTTTTGTCGTAAACCATGAATCAAAGATAAATTTAACTCACCAAGCAGTCTAATTGCGATAGAGGTTCTAAAGTTGTCGGTGAAACTGGATTAGTAATGTCCCATAGTTTGACACATCCTTTTCCCCCGGTATACGCGTGTCTTGCGCCATTGCTTAGCGACAAAGCCACGGCACAAACTACTTCCCCATGGGGTAAGGCGGCCACTTGCCTCGCCCCTCGAGGTATTCCCGGACCCATTAATGCATCAGCTGGGAATGGTACCGGCTGTAATGGCCCACCGCAAGTGTGGTACGAATATGCCCTGAAAAGAAACGTGTTTGTCAACTAATATCATCATTATCAGCCAATTAATGTGGTACAAGCTTTCTCTATGGATGGAATAAAAATGATGACTAACTTTTTTTCTTCGTTTATCAGGTATAATAATCAAAAAGTATTGGACACGTGTTTTTTCTTTATTCAAATAATCGAAACACTACAAAGATCTTGCCGGTTCTTCTCAGTGCAAGGTCTCCCGCCGTAGTTTTGCGAACTGATGGCGTAGATTCTCGATTTTCACAAGTTCTTGTAACAGCCTAGACTAAATTAATGATTTTTTTGAGATATATTGATTTGAAATGTCGTATGAAATCACGTTATAAAAGATAGAAAATAAAACACAGCGTTCACCTTGAGTAACGACAGAAAAAAGCTTTGTATTGAATTACCACCAAATTAAATGACAAAAATATTCAAAAACACCTTCAATAAAAAAGTTAATTTAGTTTCCGTCTAGCTCAACAGATGGCGTTAGTAGTATACAAAAACTTAAATTAGGTACATTGTATTTTAAAGATTTTTAAAAGGTTTTAACAACTAATTATTTATAATTTCTTTTCATAACCTATTAATAATTAAAGCTCAGAATCAGAAATGCGTCGCCTACACACGTCTTGGTCCAATTTTTACTTAGAAGATGACGCTTTATTTTTCCTTATATTTACATAAAAAACAATTGTTTTTAATTTGTAGGCCAATTAATAGTTTTTTCTTTCTTTATCTTTGTCATTTTTGGTTTTGGATTGACAAACGAAAAAATCAGTGTCCAATACTTTTTGATGACCAAACTGACGGTCTCTAAATAAAACAACGTTTAATATACCCCGTCATCATCCCTATTGGGCCATGACCCACCACGTGGGCCTGGTTTGGATGGATGGATAGTAACGAGTGCAGATGCAGCCGGGACCAACGGCTTAACGTGCCTTCCGGAGGTGAAACGAAACGTTTCCCAAGTAAACAAAGGCTCTGTGATTTATTTGCAAATAAAAATACAAAAGTGCATATTTCTCTTAAAAAACAATAAAAAAGTATTGATCAAATAACAGAGTGCAAGTGTGATTGTTATCCCAGAAAACTATAGATCATTATTTGAATTATTAATGCAAAACACTATCCAGTTTAAAAGTGACAAAAATCAGTGCTATATCAATTGCTCAATTAAATTTGAATATAATATATTATAAATCTAAAATCACAACTGTGTGAAAAAAGTTTTTCACTTTAAAAGTGCAACAAAATTGTTTTGAATGATTCATTCATAACGGCTTACCCGAATTTAAAATTTATCAAATAAGATTGAAACTTTTGTCAATATCGCTAAGTGATCGTTGACCGCGACGGGAACCTACCGTAGTCTAAGCTCGGAGGACGTGCGTTCGAACCTCGCATCGGCCAAGTCTATTTTTGATTGTAAACAATTTTACAAGCATGATAAATTAACCCCACTATACGAATCAGCAAGGCAGTGACATCTATCGACGTAACTGTGAAACGAATAACAAGAAAAAAATATGTCAACAAAGGACGCAAAGAAATAAATAACCACAACGAACACTTGTGATTTGATGCAAATCGGTATAACCAAGTATGATCATTGGTTTCTTTCTCTCATTATTTAAAAGTGATGACCCGTAAGGCTACTGCTAAGGAGACAGATATGAAGTTAAAACAAACATTGGTGGACTTACAAGTTTCTCGTGACTTATGTGATAAACTTATGCAAGAACGGGAGGACAGTGAACATGAAATTGTTAGCATATTGGAAAAAAACAAACAATTGAAATGCGACCTATCTAAGTTGCACATTAAATATGACGATGTTGTTGAGCAGTGTAATCACATGCAGAACACTATAAAATCCTTTACAGAATGTACAAATACTCACGAACATGCACTTAATAAAATTAATGAGTTAGAAGTCAGCTTGTGCCTTGCAAATAATAATGTAAAACAGTTGGAAATGCAAAGTAAAGGTTTTTCTACAGGGAAACACTCTCAAAGCTTGTTTGATGAACTGAATGTTTGTAGTCCCGGCTTCATCAAGGAACAATCGTATACAGAAAAAAGTTACGACACTATTGACTCAAGAACTTATTTTTGCAGTGCAAATAAACTTAAAAAATATATTCGTATTAAGAAATTTATAAATAAGACAAAAAGAATTATAAAGCAACATAAGTCTTATAAAAAACATAAGTTGCAATATAGTACAGTCAATCTGTCGAAAAAAATATCGTTTCAGTGAAAAAAAAACCTAAAGGGTAAGTCTTGTTTTTTCTGTTGCCAAATGACGTCAGTAAGCCACCTTGGCGATGGGCATGTTCAACTCGTAGGCGTTTTTTGAAAAACTCAAAAAAACCGTCAAAAATTTTTTGAAACGAATTTTTCTTGTTTTGTATGCATTTTAGAAACTTTTTTTTTGACCATAATTGTAGAGGGCGTTGAGTGCTACAATTTATGTCATTGTTGCAATCTCGTACAACAAAAAATGCGCATTGTAGGTGGCGCTAAAGTCTCAAAAAAGTGTTTTTTCACTTTTTCACCCTGAAAATATCATTTTAATGGAAAACTTTAAATGGCAAAAGTTGTTTCGTACATAATTACCAACCACTTTTGTATAAACAATTTTTTTGTATTACTTACCGTTTTCAAGTTATAAATTGCGCAGGTATGAAAAATCCAATAGAGCGGTTTTGGGCAGTTCACGTACACATTTGCAGTGCACATTTTACTATATTTTACTTTTTTTCATGATTGAAAAACAAAAAAAAATAAATAAAAAAATGTTCAGAATAAGGAAAATCTTACTTTCAATTCATTACATAATCAACAAGTGTCACTAGTTGAAGTTGATCCAGAAATATTATCACTCACAAATGATAACATTTGTTCACACACTAATCTTGATGAAGGTGGGATACAAACAATAAATAATTCAATAATAAAGAAACATCAAAACAATGTAATGATGTTTAGTGATGAGATAGGCAAAAATATAGGTCATACAATGAGTCATTACATGTCCCAAAACATAACTAATTTCTGTATGCCAGGCGCTGATTACAATCAAATATTACAGAAGGTGACATGTGGTAATTACAATCCTAATACCACAATAATTACTTTTGTTGGTAGAAGAGGTAATGCGAATTCCAATGTTATGGAAAAATATTTTGAATGCCTCTCTAAACTAAATGTAAAGAAAATAATTATGTTTACTCTGCCTTACAGCAACTCACTGAGTAAGACAGAAAACGACTATAGATATAAATGCAATGTAAAATTGCATGTAATGACTAACTATGATTTAAAGTTTGACATAATTGATTTTAATGGTTTTATTAAAAAACTATATATGAGTAAAGATATATACTTTCTTTGTAATTATTACAAAAAACAAATAGCAAAAACGCTTTGTTATTTTATTATAAAACAAGCCAATTCATTGGCTATAACTTCTGCCTCTATTGGGCAGTCAAATTGGACCATAAGCAATGCCAATTTGGAACATCCCTCAAATTCTTTAAATTAAATTTTGAGACAAAAGAGACTAACTCTGGCAATATTAACTGTAATGAAAAATTTGATTCGAATTTTGAGGCTTCAGGTATTTTACCATTCCCACTTGCAGTAAATAAAAATTGTAAAAATAATGTTATCAACCTTGTCCATCAAAATATTCAAGGTATGTCAGGCAAAGAATTAGAATTGGAGCTATTTATGAATTATAATAATATTGATATAATGTGTGTTACAGAACACTGGCTAAAGAGCCATCAGCTTATTTTTAATTTTAGTAACCACCACGTTTCTAGCTCGTTCAGCAGAAAAAAGATATTGTCTTGTGTTCTTCATTAATAATCACCAAGAAGAATTTTAGATGTAAGAAAAGAAATGACCTCGTATGTCTGTCTGTTGAAAGTGTTATTGAAATAGCATGTATAGTGTGAAAAATTCATTGTTGTTAGTGTATATAAACCTCCTTGTGCCCCATTTGAACATTTTTTGAAAATTATGGAGGATGTTCTATTTAAAATTAGTAAAAGCCGAAAAATAATTGTTATCTGTGGAGACTTTAATATTAACATACTAGACTCATGTTCAACAACCTGTAACTTTTTAAATTTATTCAAGTCTTACGACTTGGAAAATGTTTTTAATGAACCTACAAGAATTACCAAAACAAGTGCAACATGCATTGACAATATTTTCACAAACAAAAAACCCAGCCAAAAATCAATTATTAATATGTTGCACTCAGACCATTGTGGTCAATTAGTATCATTCCCTCGAAAAAAAGTTCAAAGAACGAGAATAAATTTTACCCCAATAAATAGAAATCGAATGGAAATGTTCAAAAATAGTTTGACTGTAAAGCTACCATGGTTGCCTTATAACCATTGCCCAGATAAGCTATATAATTCCTTATTTGAAGTAATAAATTCTGAATTTTCAAATATTTTCACAACAAAAACTAAGACGATCTGTAATCGTCTAGTCTTTAGTTCATGGGCAACTCCAGGTATCTACAATAGCAGGAATAAGTTATATGATTTGTATAGCCAAAAGTCGTATAATTTTGATCCAATATTTCTTAACTATGTAAGAAATTACTCTAAAGTTTTCAAAAGAGCCTGTTCCACTGCTAAGTCAATTTATTTAAAGAATAAGATTAAAAATTCAACTAATAAAATTAAAGAAACTTGGAATATTATAAACAGTGAAACTGGTAGAAGTCAATCTAACTGCCGTAATATTAACCTAAAAATTGATAATGTGAATGTCAAAGTTGATTCGAAAGTAGCGACGGAGTTCGAAAAGTTTTTCTCAGATGTTCCCCTACAGATTACTAAATCACTTCACAGTCGTCTTCCACTTCAGCTGAACAGCTACTTAAACAATATGTATCGACATGCAATGATGATTTTGAATTTACAACTGTTAATTATAAAGATATTATCAAAACATTTAAAACTCTAGACTTAAAGAAATCTATGGATCTTTGGGGGCTGTCTGTCAAAACAATCTCCAACATTATAACTGTTATTGCTCCTTATTTAGCTGTCGTGTTTAACAGTTGTATTAAATCTGGTGTATTTCCTGACTTGATGAAGCAAAGTAAAATTATACCGTTATTTAAATCTGGTGAAACCTCAGATCCAACCAATTTTCGACCGGTTTCTATTCTACCAACTTTAAGTAAGATCTTTGAGAGACTAATACTCAATCAACTCTTGAAGCATTTCAATAAACATAACTTATTTCATAAGAAACAATTTGGGTTTACTCAGGGTCGATCCACCATTGATGCGGGAGTTGAATTGTTAAAGGATGTTTTTTCTGCTTGGGAAGAATCACGAGATGCTCTTGGTATTTTCTGTCATCTATCTAAAGCTTTTGATTGTGTTAACCATGATACCCTCGTCAGGAAATTACGCCATTACGGCGTTAGGAACAAGGCTCTCGACCTTATGACTTTATACTTGTCCAATAGAATACAGAAGGTTGACATAAATGGTAAAAGATCTCCAGGATCTTTAGTCACAATAGGTGTTCCGCAGGGCTCGATTCTCGGTCCATTTCTCTTTCTAGTGTACATAAATGACTTGCCTTATTACATAAAAGACAATCATGATATTGTGTTGTTTGCGGATGACACCTCATTGATCTTCAAAATAAATAGACAATTAAATGATTTTGACGAAGTGAACAATGCACTTGCAAAAGTAGTTTATTGGTTTAATATTAACAACTTGTTGCTTAATAAGAAAAAAACCAAGTTAGTTAAATTTTCTACACCAAATGTCAGAAGTGTAGAAACTAATATATATATAAATGCCACTCCATTTATATATATATATATATTATTTTCTACACTTCTGACATATGGTGTAGAAAATTGAAGCCTGTGGAAAGTACCACTTTCTTAGGAGTGACGCTAGATTCCAGATTGCAATGGGGTTTACATATTGCAAAAATATCGGGTAAACTTAGCTCTGCGGCGTACGCTGTTAAAACTATTAGACAACTCACTGACGTGAATACGGCTAGAATGGTTTATTTACATAGCATTATGTCATATGGGATTCTTCACTGGGGGAGTGCAGCAGATATTAATACCATCTTTGTACTGCAAAAACGGGCTATTAGAGCAATTTATCAACTACATCCGCGTGACTCCCTCAGAGAAAAGTTCAAGGAGATAAATATTCTAACTGTAGCATCACAATATATATTGGACAACTTACTATATGTAAAGAAAAATATTATACATTGTTGTGAAAAATGTGATACACATAATGTTAATACTAGGAAAAAACACGATTTGGTTGTACATAAGACTCGTTTCCACAGAATAAACAATTCCTTTGTGGGCCAATGTATACGTTTTTACAATAAGCTTCCAAATAATATGAGAGATTTGCCTATTAATAAATTTAAAACAACTTTAAAAGCTAAATTGTATAAAAAAGCTTATTATAAAATTAATGACTATTTGAATGATAAAAATGCGTGGGAGTAAAATCTGCCCAAAATTTACGCATCTAAAACTGTACTTTTAGTACCTTAATTATTATTTTTTGATGTAACTATTGACCTGTAATGATGTTGTAAGATCAGTACGAAATTGTAAGCTGTGGAGTTTCTTTCGCCGCTTCTTCTCCGACAAAGCAGCATAATAATTAGGTATTTAAGTGAAAAAATTATTGCATCTCGAAACTGTGGTAGGGAGTTGACGATTTAAAAGTACTTACCAAAGTCCATTTAAATAAAGATATTTTGAGTTTGAGTTTAAGCACGGAGGAGCAATACTCTATTCAACTTCCTTTGAGACAAAAGGTAAAATATAAACTAAACTAAAGATAACGCAGGGAACTCGTATCGTCCCGACCCCGTGGGCGTTGATGCGCGTCCCCATCTTAGCCCATGTGAGTGAACTTAGCACATCAGTTTCCAGCAGATCAAAATTAAACGCGAGTTCTTTTCGCATGCAGCTAAGTTCTATAGTTCCTGATACTTTTGAGGAATAGTTCTGGCGTTTTTACGCGAACAAATACAATTAATAAAACGGTCTCCTAACTTCCCGTAGCAGATCATATTGCAGCAGATCGAAAATAAATGTGAGTTCTTTCCGCATGCAGCTGAGTTTTATAGTTCCTGATACTTTTTCGAAATAGTTCTGGCGTTTTTAAGCGAAAAATGATAATAGGGTACTTGACAAGTTTTAGAAAACGATCTCACGTTATTGACTAATGTTTATGAAGTCCGTAAAAAGTGGATATCATTCCGTTGTGTATTTCAGTAAAAATAACCAAATCAAAAAGTCCATTTTCAAGTTGCCGCGAAAACGTTTCTGTGGGCAATATGGCGTCTTACTAGTGTGTGACGTCACACGACTGTTATTAAAACGTGAAACGGTACAATGTAATGCCACTTTAACCAGAAGTTTACTTGCGTGTGACGTCATTTTAGGCTCCGCCAATCCCAAGGTTTTGAGTCACGTGACAATAGATATGAAAACTACTACATTTTTCGTTAGATTTTAGTAAAACTATGTTTTTTTTTGTAAAAATAGTAAAAACCCCTGCCAATATTCATTCTAAACACCGATGCTATCAAATGGCAAATAAACACTGTCAAATACCCTATTAACAAAATGGTCTGCTAACTTCCCGTAGCAGACCACTTTGCAGCAAATTGAAAACAAATGTGAGTTCTTTTCGCATCCAGCTAGCCAAGTTCTATAGTTCCTGATACTTTTTAGAAATAGTTCTGGCGTTTTTACCGCAAAAATGACAATTAGATTAGCAGCAAATCGACTATTCTGTTAAATGTAATTCTTCGGGTAAAAACACCAGAACTCTTCTTAAAAAGTAACAGGAACTCAGCTGCATGCGAAAAGAACTCACAGTTGTTTTCGGTTTGGTGCTAACTAATCTGCTACGGGAAGTTAGGAGACCATTTTGGTAACTGACATTTTCAGGTTAAAACGCTAGATCTGTAAGTATCAGGACTACAGAACTTAGCTACATGCGAAAAGAACTCACATTTGTTTTCGATTGGTTGCTAACTGATCTGCTACGAGAAGTTAGCAAACCATTTTGTTCTAATTTTTTGGGTAAAAACGCCAGAACTATTCTTAAAAAGTATCATGAACTACAGAACTCAGCTGCACGCGAAAAGAACTCACATTTAATTTTGGTCTGCTGGAAAATGATGTGCTAAGTTCACTTACATTCTTAGCCCCGGGCTGATTGGTTGTCGTAAAGATGTAAATAAATATGAAAAAAAAAACTTTATTGGCCATCTTACACAAAAAAAAACCTATTAATAAAAACAGAAAATAAAAGAGAAACTTAACCTAACAACAAAAAATAATAACACAAAACTAAGACGGCCAATCAGGATCCTAGATTCCTAGCATAAGCTGAGGCAGGATCCTGTTACACAGTGAGAGAATACTCTCTCACTGTATCCTCGCTGGCATTCTGGCAGGGCCTGTGCGAGGAAGTATAAGGCGCTAACAAGTCAACAAACAAAATAATACACGTGCTCATTTAAGCATATTGCGCAATATCTGACATTACTCACGGCTTAGCTGGAGCAATTCCGTTGGTCCTATGGTGCGTTTGGTCGTACGGATGGGGCGGCCTGTAGCCCGCGTACCCGGGGAACCCGTACCGGCCCGACCCCGTGGGCGTGGACGCGCGACCCATCTTAGCCCCGGGCGTGCCTGGCTTCTCCTATACAAAATGGTAGAAAAATCATACGATTCGTCAGTGCTTTAATTTGTATATTATTATATTTTTAAACATTTGACGACCTCCGTGGCCGAGGAGTCAGCGACACCATGAAACTCGTCGTATAAACCATTATACGCCGAGTTTCATGGTGTCGCCGACTCGAGAGGTCCCGGGTTCGAATCGGTGGGGGCAGATGTTTGTGTGATGAATACGAACATTTCTATGTATTTCTATATAAATATACTTATATAGTTACTGTATATGTATTCTATCCGTTACCCTAGTATCCCATAACACAAGCCTTACAGTGCTTACTTTCGGGCTGGGCTAATTGGTGTGTTTAAAAAAAATTGGTAACAATCGAACGATGACACGATACGATCTCATCGTGCGATGAAAATAATGTACCTGTGTTCGTGCGACGGCTAACGAATTAGGTTAGGACACTTCTGGAGTTAATTCATCGCACGATGAGATCGCATCGGGTCATCGTAAGATCGTGGCCAATTGGGACGACGCCTAGAAGTCAGATTTGAATAAATCAGTTGATAATATTTACATAAAAAACCACAGTATTCTACGGCCAAATCATTGCAAGTTTTCTTTGAATATTGACACGTTATTAGGTTATAATACAAAAATTGACAATCAAGTACACATTCACGAGCATGATGCATAATAATATTACTGTATATTATTAGAATTTTAAGTATTTAATTGCTATTTAATAAAATTCTACTAGAATGGCATGGCAGGTAGCCTTACTGATTTTTTTTTGGTTCAGATTAAATAAACTTTTTGGGTTGAGAGAATAATAATTAGTTTTATTTAATTTTCGAGATCGTCTAGACTATAGAGCGGTTCAGTGGAGTGTGGAGGTTAGAAATATGTTAAAAGTTATTGCTGTCGCAATATCCGCAAATGGAATGCTTTGTCAGCTCACGTGTTCCATTCCTGCTATAACCGGGGATCCCTTTAAGACGTGAAGAAACAATTGTGCAGGATGGCAAGGTGAGGATGGCTGGTGTGGCAGGTAGAACTGCTGTACCAGCTGTCTCCGCATCTGGACTACACTGTCGTCACTTAATATCAGGTGGGGTGGACAGTTATCTGTCAGACCTATCTATAATATACCTACACCAAAAGAGGATACCTACATCTTTAGAACTCTTGGGCGTAGACCGGCTTGAGGACGAGCCAGACCTTGAAGGCGGTCTGGGACCGTTCTCTGTTCTCTCACCGCCTTCCGTGCGTACACTGGGGGAACCTCTCTCTTCCTGCAATACGGATAAAAATACTTACAAATACTTGAAGAATAGCAAATAATTTCCAACACAACTAAGGTGGAAAACAGGTTCATCATCATCAGCCTATTAATGTCCCCACTGCTGGGGCACAGGCCTTCCCTATGGATGGAATAGGGAGATTGGGCCGTGACCCACCACGCGGGCCCAGTGCGGGTTGGCGGGTGCTAACGACTGCAGATGCAGCCGGGACCAACGGCTTAACGTGCCTTCAGAAGCACGGAGGTCTTGAGGTTGAAGATTTTTGGTCACCCATCCAATGATCGGCCACTGCGAAATTGCGGGACGGGACTGCGGTCCTTAGAATGCGAGCCGGGTGACCTTTGCAGGAGTATTATCACATTTTTACCGGGTTGTCATTTTATAGAGCTTATGAGCTGAGTGAAATGACAGGCCCACGGAGCCCTTTCATGTATCCTTTCGGTGTGCAAGGGTTACAATCATGTATTTTCCAGGCACGAAAAAAAATGGGTGCGTGTACTTATGTAGGCGCGTGAGAAGTTATCCTTCTTTGGCATCGTTTAAAATTAGTTTTTAATTGCATGCAAATAATTAATTACAATAAATTAATAAAAAGTCTGGAAAAGGACACAGTCAATAAAGTTCAGTTTTAATTTGAAAAAATAAATAAATAATCAAAATATTCAATTAAAATCGCTACTGAATATAATTTATTAGAACATATGTGATTTGCACTTGTATGAAACTCGAACACGTATTCCGAATATACAAACTAGAAACATGTGGATAAATATTATAAATATGAATACCTATAACTGTTACTTTATTACAAAAAATAAAGATGTGGTTTTTGGTTCTACTACATCAATGGTCAAGAGATGGCGCTGTAGTCTCCTGAATCGCGCTTTGGTTCCGTTGTTCCAGATTAATAAATACTTTTGATATTAAAAATATGAATACCTATAACTGTTACTTTATTACAAAAAATAAAGATGTGGTTTTTGGTTCTACTACACCAATGGTCAAGAGATGGTGCTGTAGTCTCCTAAATCGCGCTTTGGTTCCGTTGTTCCAGGTTAATAAATACTTTTGATAGGCCTTCACAATGCAGTCGTTAGCACCCACAAAATAGAGATTTTATTTCTATTTTGTTGGTAGATTTTCTTAATGTGCGGTAAACACAAAAGTAACAGTATGAAGTTGGTCGCTTTAGCGACAAAAAGATGTGGTTTTTGGTTCTACTACATCAATGGTCAAGAGATGGCGCTGTAGTCTCCTGAATCGCGCTTTGGTTCCGTTGTTCCAGATTAATAAATACTTTTGATATTAAAAATATGAATACCTATAACTGTTACTTTATTACAAAAAATAAAGATGTGGTTTTTGGTTCTACTACACCAATGGTCAAGAGATGGTGCTGTAGTCTCCTAAATCGCGCTTTGGTTCCGTTGTTCCAGGTTAATAAATACTTTTGATAGGCCTTCACAATGCAGTCGTTAGCACCCACAAAATAGAGATTTTATTTCTATTTTGTTGGTAGATTTTCTTAATGTGCGGTAAACACAAAAGTAACAGTATGAAGTTGGTCGCTTTAGCGACCAACTTCATGCTGTTAATTTTTTGTGTTACAGTGATGCGCGCGCATCTTAAAATTTCACTCTCATCATTTTTTCATAACGCGCCTAAAGAAGTATAACTTCAAAAAGATGTCAAACAGGAATCAGCCGATGGACGTCACTACTGAACATAGGTCTTCTATAGGGATTTCCAAACACAACGGTTCTGCGCTTTCTGCATCCAGTGGCGGACCCACTGTGTCGCAAACAGGCCCCCGAAATAATAAGTAGCCACCATTGCCCATATAATTTAAACCCTATACCCAAAGTACTAAGGTAAAAGTTACGGAGTTCAGCTTCCGATCGGTTTGGATAGTTCCCTCTCATTTTAGACATTGAATTCGATCGATTTTCCTTCCAATTGTAGGCAGACATTTAAATTGCTACTGCACATTTCTCTATTCAAAAATCATTTGACGACCTTCGTGGCATTGTTAAAATTTCTCCAGATTTGGATGAAATCTGGTACGCATATTATGACCTGAATTGAGACATAGGGTAATTTTAATCGTGGAAAAAGGATAGGTTCCCTGTGGGATTCTCAAAAAACTAAAGATAACGCGGACGAAGTCGCGGGCGACCGCTAGCACATACACAAGTGAATCGCTTTCGCGACTTCCTGTTACACACTTCCTTCTCATTTCACGAAATCTCCCACAAATTTCAGGAAAGCGAGAGGAAAGATGTTACACATCAATAACACTACCTTTTGGTACTGTTATGTTCCTGTCGGTGAGTAAGGTTCCAGGACTTCGCGGTGTAGGGAATTGGGTCAATGTAGACAACGGCGCAAGAAATAATTTTTGTATCGCAAGCTTCTATAGGCTATTATGGCCGCTTACCATCAAGCGGGCCATATGCTTGTTTCCCACCCTCCTAACATAAAAAAGAGCCCTAATTCAAGGTAATTCGAAGCAACAATTATAACTCCTCACGCATTTCAATTTCCAATTTAGCATCAAATCTACCTTCACAAACACGAGTATTATAGAACAGGTGCACATTCGTTTGCACAGCTGTGTAAAACTGCAAACACTGACAAACATTCCGAAATTCGTAATACCTCATTTTTTATCCACCTCCATGGAGGAGTTGTAATTGGTATGCACACCAGTCTTCAAAGTGTCGCCTACTCAGAGGTCCTGGGTTCGAATCCTGGTGGCGCAAATTAGTTAGTTGAATACCAGCATTTGTACCTAAGACATTGCTGATTATATAATACAACTAGCGGCCGCCCGCGACTATTTCCGCGTTATTTATAGTTTTTTCAGAATCCCACAGGAACCTGTTATTTTTCCGGGATAATAAGTGTCTCAAACTATATGCATACCAAATTTCATCAGTTTTTGCGTGATAGTTATTTCACACAATCCTGTCGTTTATAATATTACTACAATGTTAGGATTTCTCCAAAAAAAAAAGGGAAAATAATGTTAAGTCGATGAAATGTCTTACCTCATTAGCTACATCAACAACAAGATCTTGGTCACTCTTTTCAGCATCACTGTCCTAAAAATTTGATTAAACAGTTAGTCATGTAATTATTTCAACAATGAAATTTATGAATAAGCAATAAAACGAATTTAAAAAGGATCCTCATTGAATAGCTATTGTTTTAAGCTTTTTCGTATAATAAAAGCAAAACCTATAGGCAAGTGGACCGACGTATTCTGGCGGTTATAATGTTTATAATTTTAATTTATTATGTAATTTACATAATCCATCATTACCTACAATGTCAGAGGATAATAATATTATCACTTATTCAACGGATCATCCTTGCCATTTAACGTGGCAATGCTGCCAGCCTATTGGGCACCATTCTTGATGGCGGCGCTGGACGTGACTTTTTTTCATTTTGGAAATTAGATATTATTTATAAGTAGGTTAAGGTAATTTATAATTAAATTTTATACATTAGGTAGTTTTTAAGTTGTTGTTGTTTTATTACTTTAAATTGTAATTTTGTAAATAAATCACCTCATTAAAGATAAATAAATTTTAATATTATCACTTGTGTTTAGTACCTACTATTTATTCCATTTGTTGCCTTTAAATGGCAACAACTTTAGATATTAATAAAATTCAATATAGAGCAATAAATATATTTTACAATTAATGTAAGTCTAAATGCTGCAAAAGAAAATTTTGACAAGAAAAAAACAACTCAGTAAAGGTATCAGGCATGCAGGATTCGAAACTGCATCTTCCGCTGCCTGGGAGGATGCACTAACCGCTATGCTACCTAAACTGCTCAAATTAATAACTTTAAAATGCTCCAAAATAATTATATTCCAAAAATTTTATATTTTTGCCTCCTCTAAACTTTGCACATATTTATTTAGTAGGCCTTACAAATAAGGCCGACATACCTTTCGTTTTTTAAACTCAACTAAAGAAAAGGGTACAATATTGTTTTCTTCCAAACACAATATTTTCACACAAAATAACCGCCGTCCTGCGTGACCGAACAACACATCAGTACCCTTAACACAAACCAATATCGAATATTCGATCTGGATAGGCGGCAAATGTCAAGAAGTTTTGTATGTAAATTTGAACAGAGCCACAACGGACGTAATGAGAATTGAAAAGGACATTGGGCAAAAATGTATGGACGCTGCACCCACGTCCGCTACGGCTTAAACTACATTTACTTAAAAGGTATTATAGTCATAATCATCTCTGCCAAAGAGCTTCAAATTCCATCCCGGGGGTCTTTAGGTTTTTTAAGTTAAAAAGGTACAAGTGCTATAACGAACGAACATCAATGAAACAAGGGAATTAATTAAGTTAGCTCTACCCAACATAAGGGCCACTGGTATTATAGGAGTACTTCACAAGGTGCAAGGGTGCCCCACTATGTTATTCTGCCGCGCTAGAGTAAATCCAAAATTCCCCGCATGGGTTGGGGTTTTTTTCAAACATTCTGTTTGTTATAGTAAATTGTCTTCTACGTATGTAAAACGGAGTGACCACAAATCACACAAACTTTTCCACGCTTCGGAGAAAACATGATTCCAGTTCATCCATACTAATTAACAAAAAACCGATAATCGTGTTCCAATGTCCAAAGCGTGTTAGAAAAAAACAATCAAGTGACAGGGAGCGCACAATCACAACGAAGTGAGACGAGTCGACTATTTGCAACTGCAAATCCTTCAACCCCTGTTTTGAGGTGTCTCAGTAAGTGCAAACGCAGGATGGTCGACAGGCTTTGTCGTAATCTGGTTATATAGTACGATATGGCATATTATTATGGTTACTAATAATATAAAATGAAGGCACTATAAAATGATTTTATTTAGCTACTTAAATATGCCTGTGTGTCATATCTTTTGACTACCAGGATATTTTTTTAACGGTGTCATATCTTTTGACTACCAGGATTTTATTTTTTGTGTCATAATAAAAAAGGCTAGTTTTTCATAGATCTATTGATTCATACTAATTACATTGTTGGCGAAGCTGGGTGTGTTTTGCCCATTGTCCTTTCTATTTGACATTGGACGCGTATCGAGATCTAATTCAACTATTCGAATTCGATATTGGTTCGTGCTAAGGGTACAGACAATATATATAGAATATAGAAGCAAGCGTGTAGGTAATAAAGCCACATACACTACACAGACTCACATGACTGAGTACCTTCTCCTCCTTCCTGCGTTTGACGTCCAACGCCTCGGGTTCGGCGGGCGAGCGCGGCCTGTACTTCTGTTCGCGCTCGTGCGGCGACACGGAACGTCGTTGGAACGCGGCGTTCTAAATACAAACATGTTTTTTTAGTTCTATTCTTCCCTATTTTAAAACAATAAACAAGTCCTTACCGAACAAACCTAGACAACATATTTTGGACACGAACACCAGATATTGGCCAAATTCTGAGGGAGCCATCATTGAAATCTAAATTCTTCCCTATTGGGAAAGGCAAAGCCATGCAGCCATCGTCTTATTTTTGTATTAATCTTCTTTTTTTACATTAGAATGTGGGTGTGACGCATTCTAATGTTTCTTGGAGTGTTTGGGACGAAATGTATCGATTCAGCTTTCTCGATAAGCTTCTGTGAGTTAGTACACACACACACAATAAAGTACTCACATCCACTTAACCGATAAAGCGAATATTTTAAAGATTCCGTTAATTCTTCAATTGCGCAGACGATTGTAACACAAAATTTTATTACACAATATCCACTATGAACGAATTTAAAATATGAAGCCAACCGCACTCGATGAAATCCCGCAAAAAACTCGCTATTTTTATTTTTTTAATTCTCCTGTGGACAAGGTACGATAAGGATCTTTATGAATGTGGCGAAAATTTGAATTAAAGTCTCCGCCTTTGTAAACGTCACGTTTGATGTGCCATTAACAGTCATTTACGTAGACAGTGGCGCCCTCCTTGAACCGTCACTCACATTCATAAAGATCCGTGGCGAGCGCGGCCTGTACTTATGTTCGCGCCCGTGCGGTGACACGGAACGTCGTTGGAACGCGGCGTTATAAATATAAAAACGCTCATTTTTATTTCTGAAATTCCCCTCTACGTCAAAAGCCTAAAAGGTTCAGCGAGCGAGCGCGGCCTCTACTTCTTTTCGCGCTCGTGCGGCGACACGGAACGTCGTTGGAACACAGCGTTCTAAATATAAAAACGCTCATTTTTATTTCTGTAATTCCCCTGAAAGTCAAAAGCCTAAAAGGTTCGGCGAGCGAGCGCGGCCTGTACTTCTGTTCGCGCTCATGCGGCGACACGGAACGTCGTAACGCGACGTTCTACGCAACATTTAAAGGATATCAAATCTGCCCCAGCATGCACAAACGAATGTCCTTCATTCTATGCTTTCTGTATTTCTATCTTTACTGGATTGAGAAAAAAAGTAATCGTCGTTTCAATAGTTCTCACCTGTTGTAACACCCTAGATGAGACTAGCCTATCGTCCTCCCGGGGAGGCGGTTGTCCCGACAATAAGGGTGGCGCTGGACCTCCTGGCAACACTGGCGGTTTAATGTCCGCCGGCGGGGGCAATTCCACCTTGTAACAACGGAATCGTATTTATCATAAATAAATAAAAATTTCTAACACACAAATTAGCCTAGCCCCAAAGTAAGCACTATAAAGCTTTGGGATACTAAGGTAAACGGATTGAATACATTTATTGTTACATAAATAACTACATTTTTAGTTAGAAATACATATAAACAACCATGACTTAGGTATAAATGTTTGTTTTGATCACACAAACATTTGCCCTACCAGGATTCGAATCCCGGACCTTTGAGTAGGCAACCCCTTGAAACATACATGTGTACATACCACTCGAGCCACCGAGGTCTTCAAAGTTGACTTTCTTTCATATAAGGTTACAAATAAAGTTTTTTTTGTGGTATAAAATGGTTTTGGACACCTTGTACATAGCCTGGTAAACTGGTTCCTACAAAAGATTTTGATTAACTGAGCTAAAGGTGGCCTATAAAGATTCTCCCTGGGATCTATTTCTCATGGGATCTTACTAATATGTAAATATGTTTTTGATTACTTAGTGTATGCAAAAGTTAAATAAACACATCCAATGAGTTGTCATGTCGACACAAGTTAGTAAAAATAAACTCAAAATACATTTCATTGCTCAGTGACACAGTTATAAGCAGCATCTCAATGCTGTTAAAACTATATTCAACTCATTTTTGTATAGTCACTAAACAAGTAAACTGATGATAAAATTAAGCCTATAGATAATTTTTAGAGATATATTTTACACGGAACGACACTTCCAATTTTAAATTGAAGTGTTATTGCATCTGTTTTGGCCCACTGACGTGTTTAGTCCACACCATGATCATCACATCATCACGTCAGCATCCATCCTAATAGGGCTGATTCACACCGAAATGGCAGCGGCCAAAATTAAACTTTATGTCCACACCTAAAATACCAGTTGCGCTTGAAAAGGTCCCACGGTGTCGCGAGCGGGCGGCGTCTTGACTTCGTCCGGCTTGTCAAAAGAAACTGGGTTTTTTCAGTACGTAGATATAAGTTTATTTTATTTTATACTGAAACTGCAGACTTTTCGCGTTCACAAGAACTAGAATGGCAGTAATACCGCTGGCATTCCAGTTCTCATGGATGGAACAGAGTAATTGGGCAATGCATGACCCACGCGGGCCTTGTGCTAATTGGTGGGTACTAACGAATGAAGAAACCGGGACCAACGGCTTAATATGCGTTGACACCCAGCAAATGATCTGCCAACTTTGCCAAAGTTGCTCAACTATCGCGATCGCAAAACCAAACGCGATAACCAGTCGATAATTACAGGTAATAAAAATATTAGAATTTTTGACATACTTTGTGCACAGGCAGCGGTAAATGAGGGAGAGAAGGAAGGCCTGTGTTTTTGGAATTCCTACAGGAACCTAACATTTTTCGGGTAAAATGTAGGTATTCTTTGTCTCAATTCAGGAAATGAATGGTAAGTGTGCCAAATTTCATCAAACAAAATGTTACATTTATAATATTATCGACGACTTCCGTGGCCGAGTAGTTTGTACGCAGGGTTTCATGGTGTCGCCGACTCCAGAGGTCCCGGGTTCGAGTCCCGATGTGGCAGATTTTTGTGTAATGAATACGAGCATTTGTACTCCCATCTTGGATGTTTAATATGTATTCTTTATAAATATACTTATATATGTACTGTATATGTATTCTATCCGTTACCCTGGCATCCCATAACACAAGCCTTACAGTGCTTACTTTGGGGCTAGGCTAATTGGTGTAAGTTTTGGAAATATTTATTATTATTATTAAGTAGGATTATTAGGATCGTAGGCGAGACATACTTTGTGCGCAGGCGGCGGTAAATGGGGGGGAGGGGGAGGCCCCGCCCCGGGCGCGAACAGGAGCCCCCCGGCGCCCAGCAAGCCCCCCGCACCGGCAACGCCGTGCGACAGCCCCGCCGACGCGTGAATCTGTTGCTGCAAACGAAACGGTCCACTTTAACCTCAAATCTTGAATATGAAACACGAAAGGAAGAGTGCTGTTTTCAATTTCTGAAGTGAAACTTCTTTACACACGCTCACAAGCTGGCGATTGCGTTACGCGTTACGAAAAGTGTGTTCGGGCGAGGCGAACTTGAGTTGAATGGGGGATATAAGCAAGAAAAAGCAGTGCGCGCGCACATTTTCTTTCTCTCTATCTGTTTTAGCTAGTAAATGAAATATGTATATGTACATACATGTATATATTGTACACACATATATTAGTGATGCAACGAATATTCGCATTCAAATTCGCATTCGCAAAATCTCTGCGAATGTTTTGCGAATACGAATATTAAAAAAAACAATTTGAAGCAGTTGTGGTTCTTCCTTTTCCTTAATATTTAATGTTACACAGCTTGCATTTAGCTCGTTCAGCATCGCAAAGTGTGAAATATGACCATATTTCGTAAAAATTGATTTACTCGTGTTAATAAATCACTATTCAAACTCTAACCTCAAAATTCACTTGTTTTGTTTACGAAAAGACCGGCGCGAGCGGAATGACACTTAAGTCGTATGAGTTCATATCAACTCACCAATTCGAACGAGACTGCCACCATGCCATAAGACAATTAGCGCCAATTTTTAATAAAAACTAAATATTAGCATTTGAGAATGTCGGTACCAGATATTCGCATCCACATTCGCATTCGCGAATGTTCAAAAAATGACGTTCGTTACATCACTAATATATATACATACATACAGATGGAGCTAAACAAGATTCACTTCAGTCGTGAAGTAAGAACTGGCAACTCGTTTTACGGGAGCGAGTCTGTTGCTTTACCCTTAGCACGAACCAATTAGACATTTGTTTGTGCTAAACGAAACGATCAACCCTTGAATGTGAACCATATTAGAAATAGCGTTGTTTTCTCCGTGGACCAAAATTAATTTAAGAGTTAGCAACATATTCCGGCTTTGCACGAATAAACTTTATTAAAAACGCGAGCGAATCAGAGACACAAGCAGCACGAACTTTGACAGCTCTCGTAACGCATCGTCAAAGTTCTTTGAAAACTAAGCAGCGCCTATAGCGGACGTAAGAAGAAACTGGCTCCTTCCATCCTTATAAAATTTGAAAATGTCGATACGATTACGGATCTCTCAAAATTCGTGCTTGGGCTGCTGTTGCTGCAATGGAAACGGTAGTTCAACTCATGAATATGAATCATAATAGTAAGAGCAATGTCATCGATTTCTCTCGAGACCTATTTAAAGAACTGGCGATCCGCCCCATCAATACATAAGTGAAATTTATTTTAATATTTCCCATTTATAATATTAGTACCTCCAGATGATTAACATTTTAATTATTCGTATGTGAATTTCACCAGGAAAATTGTTTGAAAGTAAGAACAAACTAAAAACTAAAAATTAGTAACTAAGAATATTATAGGAAGTATATTATAGGAAACATCAAGTCATAATAGTTGAAATGCACGTATTCTGTTCTGTATAAATAATACACACATAAAAATATTTGGACATTTAACATAGTATTTGTTTTTATATTATATAAAGCGTTAGGCGATTGTCTTTTCTGATAAAATAGCGAACGTGTTTTTACACTGTGTAAATATTGAACAAGTTAATATATGTGACAACATAAATATTGATACAAGCATTTTATATTTGCACACTTGATGGTTGCCGCCATAAAACCTCTTATCTGTGGACCAATTAACATGGAATGATTATATTTACAGTGAGAATGAAACATGACGTGTTATAGTAAAAAAATCTGATCATGTGATTGATCACACATAGTAAAATGGGTTACCATTTTATTTAGTAACAACTTTTTAAAGATTAGTCACATACATAATAATGAAATCAAAAAAGCTTTCTGCTTTAACCAATACTGTTAATGATTCTCTAGGTTTACACAATTAGGTCTACAAAACATAACCCTAAACAAATAAAAAACATATTCATTACATATTATAGTCTTTTGTAATGACGTTCTAACAATTTAGGTAAGACTATTAATAGATAAATGTTAATTATCTAATGCTGAAGGGATGAAATAAAAAGAACTTTACATTGATTAGCTAAAGTTGCTTAAGAAAGTAAAACATAAATTGCATTGCCACGAAGCATACTTTATCACATGTAGTTAGAGGCTGAAATCAATTATCAAATGCTACAGTGCTTGCAAACAATGAATTGTGAAGTTAAAAAATAATAAAAAACTTCTGTTCAATCATTATTTTTTTTCAATTACACAAATGCGTGTGGTATCAATATCAATTAAACCAATGCCTGTACATAAACATTTGCATTTTCGGAATTATTGCTGTTAAAATATCTATTCACTATCAGAAAGTTTAGTTTGATGACAGTTTGTCATCTAACAATACTTATTCTTAGATTAAATCAAAAAGGGAAGATACTGCACTTGTGTCTCAAAGGTGCACTGCTTTAATTAGATGCATGGACAAAATTCAGTTCTGCATCATCCCTTTTCAGGGAATGATCGCATCAGACGAAGCCTGTCAAGCCCATGTCAATAGGCATCGCCCCTCAGGTGTGTTTTACTCAGCAAGAGTCTGACATGACCCTGCAGCCGGCTGTAGGGCATCCTTTAGGTGTTGGATTAGTCACAATTTGTCATCCAACACACACACACACACACTGTATGTGCACTCAATATAACAATATTGCCCATATTCTCTATTGAAAAGATAAAACAATGCCTTCAACGCTTTTAAAAGGTGAACAGATACTTAGATAGTACAATAAATAATTCTACAGCATCAATTTTTACAAAAAACAAGGTTTTTCAAAAATATTATTCCCTTATATTTGCCATTTATCATGAAATGGACAACAAGACGGCTTAGCCGTTTGTAGACAGAGAAAAGAAAAAGCAGTCAGTTGCCAAGCGAACGCACACTCGCCGACTCGCTCGCGCTGCTCGCTCGCGCTCGCGCTGCGTAGAAATAAACCGTTCCGTCTCACTCGCTTGACGCAAGTAAGAGCGTGCCTTATCTTCCCATTTTTAATTTAATCTTCGTCCTAGAAAGTATAAAAGATTGCTGCCTAAGCAATTCAAGTTTTTATTTATGATGATTATAATTTAACCACAGTAGTAAAAGGTACCCCAGAAGTAAAACACAAGCTGCTATAATAAAATATTTTAAACCTTAAAAATAAAGATACAAAATCTTTTTCAACATTTTGTTCTCTGAGCTAAACTGACATTGACAATGTCGAAACCACCTCATTATCAATATAAGAATGAGTTTTTTTTTAATTATTTTATTATCATAAAGTACTTTCATAATAAAATGTAATGTCAAAAGTATAAAAACTTCATAATATTCACTGCTACAATGAAGTTATTAATCGAAAATGCAAAATTGAAAATGTATGCACCAGTTAATCAGAAACAAACTTGGTCCAAACCAAATGGCAACATAAAACAATTGCCAACCAATAATGTTAATCACAACAAACAAATTGTATAACACAGATTAATGACACTTACAAGAAGTTGCTGAAGACCCTGTTGTTGCTGTTGCTGCGGAAATATTAAATAAAAATAATGCTCAGTCAAAGCACAGCTCGAACTCCTAATGTTCCAAAAAACTGGCAAACACAAGTAATAAATAAGAATGACTTTTTCTTACAACATTCAATGTTTTGGAATTGTAGCTGTCCAATTTTATTTTATGTATAAACACTAGCCTCCTCCATTCCTTTAAAGATTGTACAAAAAATATATTACATGATTAATTTTTTGTATAAAGAGTTGTTGTGTTTGTAAGTTATTAACTAAAGCATAGCAAATGATACTATTTAAATTATAAAAAATATAATAAGCTTCAGAAATATTTCTCAATTTCATTATTATATTTGTAACCCTTACTCCATTGTACAATTAATTATTGCTGGAAATATAAAAGCTAGAATACAATTCTGTATAATAATTAAATTAAGAAAATGAATATAAAAATTGATGATCCATATATTTTTAAACATTTTGTAACAATTATTGTCCGCGAAGGTTGTCTGGAAGAGATTGCTTGTAGCGATAAAACCGCCTTTGCCCATATTATTGTTAAATGTATTCTTTGTACCTATGTCCTTTTGTATGTGAGCAATAAATTGTTTATTATTATTATTATAATTTCGAGTTTTTAATGGTGTAGGTAATAATATCTAGATTTATTTAAGGTAATTCTTACCCCAATAATGGCATTTAGTTCAGACATAGTAACTTGCTTTGCCCTTTCCACTGCTGAGGCAACTTGCTGCTGATGTTCTTGGGCTAGAAATGGCAACACTTGGCCAATTATAGCACTCAGCCTTTTAGCAATCTCTGTCTGGAAAAGATATGTACAGTTGAGTAAGAGGTTTTAAAATACACACATGAAAAAAGTCTTAAGCAACACACAACATTTACAGAAACTATATGTTCCATTAAATTAAATTCAATTAATATACATATTATTATTCACAGAAGATAATTGGCTGATTAAAAAAAAGGAAACTCATTGTGTTTATAATAGTATGGTATGAATATAATTACAATAGTAAATAACATTCAACATAAAAAACATTCAATAGTTCAAAAGTATAATTTCCAGGTTGTTAATATACAGTAGAGCCTCTTTTACTTGAACTTCAAGGAAATGGTTAGAAATTTTGAGTTAGCAAATCTTTAACTCATCTCGACATAAGTTTTTAAACTGTCAATTTCAAGTCATATGACATAGTAACCTAATGTAACCTTTAAGTTACCAATAGGGGTGATGAGGGGGTAAAGTAAACGAAATTCTATTTAGTCTGTCAGTTAGATGATCAAAAAATAAAGGACACATATTTTTTCTTTGGGCAATCAACCAAAAAATTACAAAGTTATAGTGCGTCAAAGTTTGGGAGTAGGGGCTCGTGACATCACTTTTGAGTGAATTTTCACTTATAAGGGGTACTCAAACGTGACGTCATGCGACTTTTCAAATCAATATATCTCTGCCATGTTTATATTATGTGAAAAAAGAAAAAATACGTGTCCAATACTTTTTGATAATCTACCTGATAAACGAAGAAAAAAAAATTAGTCATCATCCCTATTGTCTTTTGTTTAAATTTTGTTTAAATATAGAATAAGGTCTGTTGAGTTGGCTGTCTGTAATTTTATGATAGAAAGATTCATTCTACAAAATTTCAAAAAAAGTGTTTTTTTTAGAAGAAAATTATTTAAAATTTTCACCCTTCATAGTAAATAACCTTAAATAGTTAAATAGACTCCCCTCCTGCTACCGCCCCTGAAATTGAGGGACCTTATTCTATATTTTTACTGAATATTCATTACTTTTATTAAGATCATTCCAATATGTTATTTCCAGTTAACTGGTAGAGAATGCCATATTGGCATTAAGTCCGCCATTTGCAATGTAAAGGCAAAAAGATTAAATAAATAAATAAAATATTTGCTATAAAAATGTAACCATACTAATAGTATACCTGTTTATGCATTTCCACATTGAGTCCATATGACATCTCATAATACTGCAAGAATATAATGTACCGTTAACAAAAATGATTTTTATTAGTTACCAACTCTAGAAGGTTATAAATATTTGGCCAAAATGAATAATGTAACTAGACTTACCATCACATAATGCCTTTGCATTTCTGTTTTCTCACTAGCTAACTTTTCGCATTCTAGTTTCAATCTGGAAGCAAAAATGAATATATTATCATTCATGACAGAATTTTACAACTGTATAATGTAGTTGCGATTACAATCTCATACTTGAACACCAAATATTAATACTTACGTGTGATATTGAGCTTGTAAAAAGTTAAATTCTTCTTTGATACGTTCTAAAGTGTCAGCTATAGTAAATTTAATAGGTCCCGAAGTAGGCTGTGGACCCTGAAAAAAAACAAATAATTAAGAAGTAAGGTGTTGAAAGATCCACCAACAGCAAGTTTGTAGAGCAGTCAAAGCACTGCTTTAGTATGACAGATTTCCTAAATAGCATAAGGATAGAAAATAACACAAACCCGTACCGCAGCCGCCGGGTGCCTCGTCGGCGTCGGATACATCTCGATCCAAAGTAATGTAATATATAAAATAAAAAACAATCAAATGAAATCCTCTTTAGACCCGTTCACAAAAACAATCGGCACCATTTCAGACAATACTGTCTACCGCTGCTATAAGACTCTAAACACCGGAGAGCCCGACTTACGCGCTAATGACAATGATATGCACAAACTTTGTCGTGAAACTTTTGAATTATCGGTCATTATCTCGACATTCAAAACTTCTAATCGTAATTTTCAACTATGGCATGAAATGCAAAGCACACTAGTTTTAATCAACAAACAATTCATACAACAAGCAACAGCCACTTCAGCACAAATCTATCCATAAATCCACGCCGTAATTTTTGTTCGGCTGTCTCAGGCTGTCTGTCATGTCATGTCATCCATCAACACACATTTTAGGAGTGTGACGTATATATCGGAACAGCTCCCCGAAACTTGTTCCAGGATAAATCTGTAGAATGATAATCATTTATATAAAATAGAATGGTCAGCATGTGAACCTCGGGTTAGTCACTTAAATCTTTATAAAAATAGACCAAAAAAGACTGTCACGATGATATTATTCCTTATTTCTGCTGTCGTTTTATATGTACCGGCTTCCCGGCGAAATGATGACCAAAATTGGTGGGCCCGGGAACCACATGCTCTTAGTTCTTTTTAGACAAAAAGTTAAAATAAAACTCAATTAGGCTATGTACCGACGAGATGATTATTTTAATTCCATGTAACGGCATATGCGACAGCTACGGATACATTCATTTCATTGAATAAGTAATACATTAGATTTTACTGTCACTTTAACATCCAAGAAGGACATATTGACACACTCCGCCTTATGCCAAAACGCAAGCTTAAATTAGTCTTGGTTTACACCTAATATTCTATATCTTCCTTTTAGCAAACAAAAATGATAGCATCAGTTTTAGTACAGGTTCAACTTGAGTCTAAGTTTTGTAAGAAGGTGGACTGCGTTCATCAATAATCAACACATGGACAGTGTCTCGCACATCATCTCACCTCGCACCATCATCCACGTCATTGCAATCAGTTATCACTTCACTGAAAACGAGAAGAAACTATGATCTATGTGACTCTAAATATTGTGAGCAGGAGCTCAATCATGTTTAGATATGCAAGTCTTCACAGGTCAAAAGGCAACAACGTTACATAACTTATGTTAAAGGAGTAACAGATAAGATCGAGAATATTTTGCGTAGGTACTCCATACCAATAGTATATGCTCCTGATATAATAAAAGTCAGGAACATCATGGGTACTCCATTAAAAGGCTTGCCCTTATGCCGACACATTAAAAGGCTATGCGTATTTGCTATTTTAAACTTGAGCAGTTTGTTCTTATCATGCTTTAAAAGGAATGACCAGGACAGACTGTCTAGCAAACACGAATAGCAAAGTGAATTGCTGGAATTACAAACACAAGAGGTTTACAAAATAGACTGTAGCTGTGTTCCTACTTAAGCGAAACAAAAAGAATCAACGAGTTGAAGAACATATCGCAGATGTGAAAAACCGCCATTCAAATAAATCAGCGATTGCAGAACACTTAATTAAAAAGGGGCAAAAAAACTAGATCGAATTTTACCGTACGCAAGTATGCGTATTCTTCGTTTTCTTTTCACCGATCGCCACTTTTATTCAAGAGTGGCGCGTGAAGTGATTGACATCAGGAAAACTTCTAATTATTTTAAATCAGTAAGACGGTTTTAAACTATCTGCATCTTGGAATCCCGTATGGACAATAATACAATTACTTTTCGCAGTCGGCTAATCAACAGAATGCGGCCATGTTTTGTCACTCAATATAAGAAAATTAAGTTTATTCTGTTTTAAAGATAAAATAATATCTTCGATGCTTTTAAAAATATCACAAATAGTTCAAGATCAAATAACAAGTTCCACGGCAATACTTTTCATTCGTAAAACTATAAAAACGTTTTTTTCTCAAAAATCACGGTTTTTCATGTTTTTTTTTACTGATTCACCAGTTATCAAGAAAAGGACAACAATACGGATCAGCTGTTTGTATAGAGAGAAAAAAAAACCAGTAAAAATTACCGAGGTATATAGTGATCCACTACTGATTTATTATAACACCACTAAGATACTTGTTCGTAATTATCACTTGATGATCACCGAGCTATTTAGTGATCCACTACTACTTTAGTATAACGCCACTAAGATACTTGCTTTAAAAAGCATCGATGCACACTGTAAATAATAAAAAAGTTAGCGAATAGGTCGGCTGGTCGTTCTTTTGGATGTGGTCACAGACTACGTGGTAACTGAAACTGTTATTCAAATAATAGGTAAATTTACTATAGCTGTTATTTGTCCGGAACAAGTATAGATGGAACAGGTTCCATATTTTACCTGATAAGGTTAAAGATCACTCCTTACGAAGATTACTCCTCATTAATCTGAGCCTCTAATGGCAGAACTACATTTATCTGATGTGTTGTGTTGTGACTCGCAGAAAGCTATCTGTTTAATACATTTAGTACGGTTAGAGTAGAACGGTGTCGTCACATCGCATCACATCGCGACACAAGTGTTGTTTTAACCGTACTAAATGTATGAAACATATCGCATCAGATTGCGTCACAATCACACCTCAACACGAGATAATTAAAGTTCTGCCTTAGGGTGCGGCCAGAGTGCGCTGTGCGCTTGTTTTCTGAGTCTGAATCTGAATCTGAATCAGGAGTGCACTCCGCACCCTTTATACACGCAAAACCATATACATTGTATCAAATGATCTTAGAACCATTAAATGGTCTAAGCTTCCAAATTAAGGTTTAGTAAATCAATTACTCTACAATTTTAATTCGAATGCGCCTCGGACATGTTTGTACTCCTGATCGTTTGGCAAAATATGGTAAAATAAATACGTCCACATGTGAATGTGGCGAGGTTGATGCTAACGTTAACCATATTTTCTTTTCTTGCCCCAGATATGACAGAATCGCCTTTTTAGATTCATTGAAGACAGCAAATATTCCTTTTCCTACGTCCATTCCTTCCCTTCTACTTAATATTAATCCTGATATATACATATGTTTATCCAAGTTTATCAGAAAAAAATATATAAAAATTTAGTTCTATATATTTATATTTTTACTATAGTTCCATTATTTACCTATATTTCCCTACCTACTCAACTGTTGTTCCTTTTTCTTGTTTATCGCAAATCTCCCTTTTTTTTCTTGTTCATATCGTTTCCTTATTTTTTCCCATCTGCAACTACCACATATCCAAGTACCAACTATCCATATTCCGCTCCTTTAATCGATCAAGTTTAATCGATTTGCTTTTGAAACTTGCATATGGCAATTGGCAACATTAGCCGTCATGCTATAATAAAAGAAGAAGAAGAAATGGTCTAAGCACGGTCTAAGCAAATGATGGACGGAGGAGAAGTTTGACAGCCTGAATGACGGAAGGAATTGTTCCTCATCCATCTATCTATTTCTAACCAGTACAGTGTAACCATGGAGGTTAGAGATATGGAGAACGATCTCTGTAGAAAATAATATCCCAGAAATATACACAAAATAAGGGAGGCGCTACGATCGCTAAGTTGTCTCAATAAAGCGCTTCTATGCATTATGGTTATTCTAAAATATAAATCAAAAAACAAGAGAAGATCGCAAACAAAAACAAGGCACTTAATATTAGTTTATAAAGTTTATATTAACAACTATAACCTGCAGTCCGAGTGGCGCTGGTGAATTCAGTATCTGAAACAAGAATGACCTAAACATTCCGGTAAATTCCCTGACTCCGAAACCTGCTCGGGCAACCAGTTGCCTGCTACCACTATGGCCACCCTGCTTAAACTACACGCTTTATTCCTCACGCTTGTTTTCTGAGGTCTGAACCAGCGTGCACTGTGGCCGTAACCTTACATTGGAAATAATATCCTACGACTCCTACGAGTGTCCAGATCATTATACATGTAACGAGTGTCCTAGTAAGATGCTCACAACATTGCGGTGACGTGTGGTATTTTCATAAAGTTAAAAGAATTCATAGTGTTAAGCGTGAAAATTATATAAAAGTATATGCTAATGCCATGTACAGCGTTGTTCTATTCATCGAGAATGGTAAAAGAATGAATCAAACACTCGGAATTATCATTTAATTTGTAAGTCGTAGTCATGTCTCAGCAAACATATATCAGAATAATACAATCATTGGGTTCTATTTAGTTTGCGTCATAAGTTTTCAAAGCCAAATTGTATAAAAAATATGAATATACCAATAAAATTTAATATAAACCCGCGCAGATAAAGAAAGGGCCTGAGATTGGCGGCGGCTACTTTATCTATGCTCAAAACACGTAGCCCTTTTTGGAACGAAGTTCCTTACGGCAGGCTTGGAGGGGATAGGGATTTTGCTGCGCGACCGAACTGAAAAAAATGTGATAGTAAAACCGTAAGAAAAAATCCGTGGAAAAAAAACCGTTAAATGAGACGTGCGCAGGCGCGACAGTCGCATACACAAGCGAGTAGTGTGTAATACCTTTCTCTTTCTCCCTCTTTCTTTTCGTTCTCTCATCCCTAATTAGCCGAAGGAACTTCGTTCCTACCTGGTGTCCCACGACACCACATATTTTTTTTATTTCATAGTAATTCTCGTCCTAGATTCCTACTTTATTTGATCAAAGATACATCATGTTGCGTCTTTTTCCACCTTGTAGGTTATGGTAAGTGTTTGATGGTATCGATTATGGCGTGGATCTCTCAACTTAAATCTAAATTTAATAATTAAATCAGTCTCTCCTTTTCATTTTGTATAGAGAATGACAAGGATATACTTTTGTCAGAGTTTAGATTCAAAGAATAATTCCAAAATCGACACCATCACCTCTTTTCCCCTCTGCGTCCATTAATATGACGAAATATCACAAGAACGTATCTAATATTATAGACCAATAATAACACGCCTATATGCAATATTATCCTCAAGTCAGAAACATATTAACGTGTCGTGTCGTGTCGTGGCGCGCCAGAAGCACATCGGTCTCATACATTGACTATGGTTTGAGACGTAGTTCTCTCTCCCTAACCCATAATAAATGTATGAAACCAATGCATCATGACCATAGAGTACATGTCATAAAATACTGTGCTTTTTGCTGGACTTTCATTGGATTCGTTTCAGCAATAAATATTGTTTTTGATACGGGCAACATTAGAACTAAATGTCATCATGTTTTTTTTGTCTTTGGCTATTTTTGTAAATGGCAGAATTGGCAAGACGTCGTCGCGCCGCAGCTGTTCGATAAGTGTTGTAGGTGCCGTGCCGGAGTGTTTTGAAATAAAAATTGGTTGCTTTGATTATTTGTGAACACGTGTGTCTT